AGGGAGGGAGGGAGCGCGGGAGGGGGCTGGGGGTGACGACCAAAGGGTGGGGGAGATCGTGGCGCGATGATATCTCTCGAGATTTCATGGCCCCTTCTGTGCCAGACTCTGGCTGGATTTGATGGTCTCCCCGCGCACCCTTTGGTCGATTTCGGCTTCTGGGGGGCCGCCTGTGGACCCCAGGGCAATCAGAACACGATCCGGGATGAAACACAAACACCGGTGCTCAGGAAGGGGTCGAGAGTTGTGGACACCCCGCGTTGAGCAAAGCACCGCAACGGAGGTCTGGGGTCCGAGGATCGAGCTTCTGCGGATCCTCGATAGCTCTACCCTCGTCATGAGCAGGACGCGCTCCGACTCCCCTCTTCCCGAGGAGGAGGGGCCGACGAGGAGGCACCCCAGGTCCTGCTCCCGAGAGGGCCGCGCGCCCCCGCGGGAGACCCATGGGGTCAGAGAGGGGGAAAAGCTAGAAGGATCAAACGTTCGCCGCCGGAAGGTTCTCATCCGTTTCGGCCTCTGGGGGCCTTCTTTGGGCCCCTAGGCGCCGCCGAGGATCGATCTTGGGTGAAAAGGCCCCCAGGATGGACCCTGGAGGGGTTTTGGGAACGAAGGACGCGCCAGAGGTTTGGCGGGTGAAGCAAAAAAACCGAGGGTCGAACAAAAACGGTTGCTTGTTTCACCCTTGTTTTTTTTCTCACCCTTGCTTGTTGTTCCAGGCCTGCTTGCTCACCCTCGAGATCAGACGAACACCCGGGCGGACAAGCGCGCCCGGAGGGTTTTCGCCGATTTCGGCCTCTCGGGGGCCGTTTCTGGGCCCCAGGGCCACCAGAAGTCCATCCAGGGGTGGGGGTGGATTCCGGGAGAGGTCGGGGGAGTACCCAGATCGTTCTCGATTATCCTCAGGATGTGTCTCAGTCCAGTGTGTTTACCCCGTTCACCTGCACTCAAGTCTGTGTCGGCACTGGTTACGTCGCCTGCGTCGCATTGAAGGGCTCGGGTGGACAATCACACGGTGGCGCTAACCCACGTTCTGAGGATCATCGATGCTCTCTTGCTGCTCCCCCCAGGAGATGGCTGGGAATGGAGGCCTCCTCCGCGAACCAGGCCCTGCGACCGCTTGCGCACCAAACCTTCCGCAACACTCGTTCTCTGTCTGTCGTTCATTGTTGTTGTTGGAGGTAGTGGTGTTGGTGTTGGTGTTGGTGTTGTTGCTGCTGCTGTTGGTGTTGTTTGTGTTGTTGTTGTTGTTGTTGTTGCTGCTGTTGTTGTTGTTGTTGTTGTTGTTGTTATTGTTGATGTCGTTGTTGTTGTCGTCGTTGTTGTTGATGCTGTCGTTATTGTTGTTGCTGTTGTTATTGCTGCTGCTGTTGTTATTGTTGTTGTTGTTGTTGTTGTTTTTGTTGTTGTTGTTGTTGATGTTTTGTTTGTGTTTTTATTGTTGCTGATGCTGTTGTTGTTGTTTTTTTGTTTTTGTTGTTTTTGCTGTTGTTGTTATTGCCGCTGCTGCTGCTGCTGTTGTTGTTGTTGTTGTTGTTGTTGTTGTTGTTGTTGTTGTTGTTGTTGTTGTTGTTTTTGTTGTTGTTGTTGTTGTTGTTGGTGTTGTTGTTGTTGTTGGTGGGGTTGTTGTTGTTGTTGTTGTGGTTGTTGTTGTTGTTGTTGTTGTTGTTGTTGCTGCTGCTGCTGCTGCTGCTGTTGTTGAACATTATTTATTCTAAAGAATAATTATTGTTGGGCCCCCTGGTGCGCGCCCCCCCTGCGCCGCCTAGGCCGCAGCTACATTTTCATCATTTTCGTGAGGAAGCCTCAGAAAAGAGGGTGTGTACAGGATCCGGTTGTTTTGTTGTAATCCGCTTTCCCTTGCAAAAAACAATAGAAAATGACATTTCTTGTTCTAATATAATCAAATTTCAAGAATCCCTTGCAAAAAATAAGGTAAAGTGGACATTCGCGCGCGCAAGACGAAATCCTTCCAAAACCTTAGTGTTCGCAACGATTTTAACATAAAAACATCAAAAAACCAATGGTTTTTCAACAAAAAATTGTCAAAATCTCATCCCGCGCGCTCTTGCGGATTCGTAGGAAACCCAACATCGGGACAATCATCGGGACAACGATCGGGACAACCACAACCATCAGGACAACCATCGGGACAACCATCGAGACAACCATCGGGACAACCATATCCTCTCTCTCTTGTGTATTCCCACATCCCTCAGGAATTTGCCCTAAAGATGTGATCAACTATCTTGTGAGTACGTATCATGTGTATCATGTGTATCATGTACCATATGCATCATATGCAACAGATGTTCTGTGGAAGGCTTAACAACTTCTGTGGGTTAACAAGGCTTAACAACTTCTGTGGGTGTACGAACGTAGGCTTAACAACTTCTGTGGGTGTGTACTCCACGCCAGTGTAGTAGCCACGGTCGTCCGCAGGCCACGAAGTGAAGTGTCCGAACGTCATAGGGCGGGAAGCTGGGTGTGGGTGGTGGCGAAGAGTCGTGTGGATATTTGGTAGAGCTTGCACTGCCCCCCCACAAAGTGGGGGTATTGGCTGGCGTCGCATGAAAACCCTGGCACTGGTGAGAACACTGAGCGTTCGGGTAAAGTGATTGTTGTTGTTGTTGTTGTTGTTGTTGTTGTGTTGTGTGTGTGTGTGTGTTTGCTTCGGCCTCTGGAGGTCGCTGGGAATGGGGTCGAGACATCTGTGCAGAGGTGGGTCTCAGTGTGCCTGCCCACAGGCCGCGCGGCAGTGGCAGCCGCCCCCGGGACAACGTCGTCGTCGCCGCCGTCGTCGTCGCCGTCGTCGTCGTCGTCGTCGTCTTCGTCGTCGTTTTGGAGATCTCTAGGCTCTAGGCGCTTCCAGGGGTTATTGTCGCCACGGCTGGACGTGGCTCGCAGTCTGGCCAGGGTGGATTGGAATGTCGCTATGATGAGGAGGAGTCCTGAGGGAAGGCGGTCGGAAGCTCTGATCTTTTTCGCCGTGGTCGGCTTCCCTGGGGCCCTCCTGGGCCCAGGGACCGTCAGAACACGACCAAGCCAGTCCTGGGGAAAGACCGGGGCCCGTGAGTGTTTTATGAAACCCCTGGACTTCTCCCTCTCCCGGCAAGGACATGAGCCGTCTGTACGAGGCGCTGCGCGACGACGGCTACCTCAACGGCCCCCAGGACTGGGCCGACAGGATCGCCGACCAGGGCAGCGGCCAGGGCACCTATCAGAGCAACTGGCGCCGCGCGCTGGCGGCATTCCGCGAGATGCAGCTGGAGGGCGTGGGCCCCGCGAGGGTCACCCACGCGGCGCTGCTGATCGGGAAGACCCCAAGCGACGGCACGAGCAGAAACCCGCCGACGCCCGCGCGGATCTCCCCCTTGGGGTCGGCGCGGGACGCCCTCCGGCGCCGAGGGGGGCACCCTGCGCGCCGGCTCCGCTGGCCTGCCGCTCGCGAGAGCCTGCTCCGCAGGGCTGCCCCTCCGACGCGCGGCACGGAAGCCCCCCCCCCGGGGGGGGGGCCTTCGGCGCGGCCGCCGCGGGCGCCCCTCGGGCAGGGCTGCCCAGCGCCGAGGCGGGCGCGCGAGCGGGCCCTCTTCGCCGCGAGGAGGAGGAGGAGGAGGAGGAGGAGGAGGAGGAGGAGGAGGAGGAGGAGGAGGAGGAGGAGGAGGAGGAGGAGGAGGAGGAGGAGGAGGAGGAGGAGGAGGAGGAGGAGGAGGAGGTGAGCGCCGCGCGCCCTCGAGCCGCTGGACGCCCCTCCTCCCCCCCACGCCCCCCACCGCGCGCAGCGGCGCGGCGGGGGCGCGGCGCGGGAGGTGCGGCCGGGGGGCGTGGGGAGGGGGGGAGGTCCAGCCGTCTGTCGAAGGAAGAACCACTCAAACGACGCGAAGATCGGGACAAAATCGGATCGGGATAACTCGAAATCTCTGAGAATCGGCGGGTTTGGAGGATGTATTGGGCGCCGCGGCCGCTCCAGAGCGTTCCGGAACGCTCTGAGAGCGCTCCGGAACGCTTTGGAGCGATTTATCCCGATCCTGGCCCTGTTTTAATGACCCAGGTGTCGTGCGATCTGGGTCATGGTGTGCATGTCGGCCGTCGCCGATGCGCGAGGGCGATCCACGAATTGACGCTGGCCCAGATCGACGGTGACCAAGATCGACACGACGTTTCCGCGTTCCGTCTTGGTCATGCTCCCCGCTCTCTTCCAGTCCACCATCGGGGGGTCGGAGGCCGCGCCGCATACCCAGTGCTTCGGCGATGCGGCGCGCCGTGGGCCCCGGTTTTCTTTACGCCGCCGTCGCCGATCCACCGCCGATGCATCGGTGGTGTATCGGCGATGCGGCGCGATCCTCCGACCCCATCTGCTCGGACCCCATTCGGGACGCCTCCAGTGGGGAGGGGGGGGGTCCAGCACCCACCAGGGAGATCTGTGCGGACTGGCGGGCGTCTGTGCCGATTCCGTTCTTGGGGTCCTCTGCGAGCAGCGTCGCTCGTGGCTCGCAGTGGGAGCGGGCGCTGTCTCTGCTGGGCGAAGCGGATGGGCTGAGCCTGGGAGTGACCTCTGAGATGTACGCCGCCGCCCTGGAGGCGTGCAGGATTGCCAGGAAGTGGGAGTTCGCCCTGCTGCTCCTCGAGGACATGCAGCGGAGGGGGCAGACCCCTGTTCTGCGGCATTACAGCGAGGTGGTCATCACGTGCGCAAGGGGCGGGCAGCTCATGCGAGTGCTCGCCGTGATGGAGGATCTGCGTGACGCGAGTGTCTCAATGGGCACGGCGATTTACAACAGCGCCATCAGTGCCTGTCGTGACGCGGGCGACGCGGCGATGGCAGCGGGATTATTTCTCCGCATGAAGGAGGAAGGGGTCGAGGCAGACGTGGTAACGTATAACACGCTCATCAACGTCTACGGAAGGAGCGGCCAACTCGATCGGGCCCTGGATTTGCTCTTGCGCATGCAGGAAAAGGACGTCACCCCAGACGTGTATACTTACAACGCGGCCATCCGCGCATGTGGCAGGAATGGCCAATGGCAGCAGGCGTTCCGCCTGCTCGACGAGATGGAGGAGAAGGATTCGGGAGGAAAGTAGATACTTACACATAAGCGCTGCTTCCCATGAGCAGATAGGAATTTCGGGAAGTGGATGGGGAAGAGTAACAGTCATAACATGCGGAAGGTATGGGGAATCCTGAAATTCGTGTCTAGTGACTCTAGTGTGTCTCCCTGGGGCCCTGTAAGGATACCCGTCCCAACGTTGTGACCTACAACGCGCTCATCACTGTATGCAGAGACCAGAGACTCTGGATGCTGGCTCTGCGACTGCTGCCAGAGATGCGGAGGCGCGGCCTGGATCCCGACATCGCCACGTTTGGCGCCCTTGGCAGCGCTTGCGGAAGCTGCGGCGAGTGGAGTTGGGCGCTGGAGTTGCTTGGCCAGATGAAGGCAGACGAGCTCCAGCCGAACGATATCTCCTACAACGTCACGATGCTCGCCTGCGCCAGGGGCAACCAGTGGACATGGGCGCTCGGCCTGATGGACGAGATGCGGGGGAGAGAGCTCCCCCCCTCGGTCATCTCGTACGGCGCCGCCCTCAAGGCATGCGCTGGGGGCGAGGCGTGGACGCAGGCCCTGGGCATCCTCGGGGAGATGCGCTCTAGGAAGGTCCAGCCGAACCTGCTCGTCTTCGGCGTCACCGTCGCCTCGTGCCAGGTTTGCGGCCGCTGGGAGCATGTGCTCTCCCTCGTGCGCGAGATGCGGAGCCAGGAGCTGGAGCCCGACGACCGCGTGCTGGACCAGGGCATCAAGGCGTCGGCGGGGCCCTCGGAGGTTCCTCGGAGGTGCTCGAGGTCTTCGGTGGCCCTCGGAGGTCCTCGGGGGTGCTCTGAGTTTTGCTGGCGGTGTCAGGTGTTCTCGGCGGCTTTCGGAGGTCTCGGACGCTCTGGGAGGTTTTCGGATGTTTTCAACTTGGCTCGCGCTTGTTTTCGGGGATTCTCGGAGATCGGAGGAGGAGGAGGAGGAGGAGGAGGAGGACCAGTGTAAATCCAAGACGCATCAACGATGTTGCAGTAAACCTTTCCTCCAAGTTCACTTTCTCGAGCACTTTCTCTGAAGCACTCTTCCCCAATCCGTGCTTGCACTGCAGGGGTCCTAGCGGAAGTCGAAGGCTTGGCGAAAGTTCCCCGCCGATTTTGGTGGCAGGTTGGGTTAACCCGGGTTCCCGGGTTCCCGGTTCCGGGTTCCCGGGTTCGGGGTCGGAAAAGAGGGGGGTGATGACTAGGGGGGGGTGGATATCATGGCGGGGGCCATGATATTTCCCCAGATTTTATGGCGCCTCTTCTTACTTCATGACGTTCTTGGCCCCCCCGCTGGGCCGCGCACATGCCGCCGGTCATTATTTGCACCCCCCCCTCTTGGACACCCTCTGGGCCGCTCCCGACGGGTTCCCGGTGCCGGGTTCCGGGCCGATTTCGGAGGGCGGAAAGGTTCCCGGGCTCTTGGGTTCTTGGTAGATCTTCTTCTCGATCGGTCTCACCATCGATCTCATTACCGACGTCTCGATCGATCTCACCATCGATCTCACAATCGATCTCATCATATCAATCCCACAAGCGATCTCACCAGAGATCGCATGAGCGGTCTCGCGATCGATCTCACTATCGGTCTCATTGAATCGATTTCGCTCTGGGTCTCATGATCGACCTTATAATTGTCCTCACTATCGATTCCACTATCGATCTCATTATCGATCTCACAATCGATCTCAAGACCCATAGTATCAATTTTCAAATCATCCACTGGTTTGGGGTTTTCTCAGGTGTAATTCTTTCCCGTAGCCATTTTGGCTCAAGCACGTTCTCTCAAGAGCACTTTCTCTCAAGAACACTTTCTCTTTAGTTCCGATCTCTCTTGTGATTGTAGCTGCAATGGCGGATGCTCAGAGTATTGCTGCCCCGAAGCCTCGGTCTCGCGTGCAAGGTTCCCCGGTCGGCCATTTGTTCAAGGACGGCCTGCGAAGCTATGGCGGCTGAGGCCGAGCCAGTGACGATAGCTGGCATTGCGGCCTTCCTCCAGCAGCAGATCGCCCCAGTTACCAACGTTGTGGAGGACCACAAAAAGAAGCTCGGGACCTTAGACGGCAGTGTCGGGAACTTTGCGGTGACCCTCGGTGCGAGCATCGGCTCTACGGAGATGCGCGTCGAGAAACCGAGAAGCCAGAGACCATGTACGAGACGATGGCGCAACAGTTTACGGGAGGGGGCGCGTTCGAGCTGAAGGCCCAGGAGTACATCAAGGAAACCTTCTCCGCGAGCCCCATCCTCAAAGACACAGCCTCTCCGCCCCACACGCTGATGTCCAAGAGGTCCTTGAGCATGGTCTTTGGCAACTTGGACGGCCTGGGGGACCTTCCTACGCTGATCCAGTGGCTGACGGAGCGCCTCAAGGCCTCTTGCTCGCCAGCCCCGCCCAAGACTTGCTCGAAGGGCGAGTTCAAGGGCATTCTGTTAGCCGAGTTTGGCTTTACAGACGCGCGTGACCGTGCAGTCGTGGTCCTCTGTGCCATTGCCCCCACCAGCGGCGAGAAGTAAGGTGTGGGCTAACGGAGACCGCTCACCAGCGAACCAGGCGGCCCGCAACTTCTGCTTTGGCTGATCTTGAAGCAAGAGTTCAAACTGCCGTGCGTCGTGGGAAGTGTCGGGCGGGGACCCCAACAAGGTGGTCGTTGGTGGCGAGCACGCGCTGACAGCGACCGTGGAGGACCACGACGTTGACTACCAGTGGCGTGGCGAGTGGGCTAAGTGGGAAGAGTTGCGCGGCCACCCCCTCATCAAAGACCTTGCGAATAAGTCTGTGGATCGGCTCGCTCGCGCCAGCACAAGGGCATGAAGGACGTAACCAAAGGCAGGAGGTCACTTTCGGAGATGATTCCGCCAGCCGGGGGGGGAGCGGGAAACCAGAACCGGAAAACGGAAAGCGGACGGCGGAAAGCGGAAACCGGAGAATTAATGGCGGGAGGCCGCCCGCGCAGGGACCGAGAACGGACATTGGAAACCGAAAGCCAGAAAAATGCAAAGTGGGTGACTCCCCGTGCAGGGACCGGAATGGGAAACCGGAAAGAGGAAAGCGGAAAAGGAACAGCGGGGGGGGTCCCCAGACGGGGGCCCGAACCAGAAACCGGAAATGGAAATCGGAAAGCAGGAACCGTGGGAATTCATTGGGCAGAGACCAGAGCCGGAGAGGGCAAACCGGAAACCGGAAACCGGAAATCCCACACCGTAAACCCAAAGCGGAAGCCAGAGAACGGAAACCAGAATCTGAAAACTGGAAAGCGGAAAGCGGAAACCGGAAAACGGGAACCCGAATTTTGTAAACGGAAGCCAGAAAACGGAAACCGCAAATTGAAAACCAAAAGCCCGAAAATGGACACCAGGTGTCGGAAGCAGAACCGGATTTACGGAAACCGATTAAACCCCGAAACAGAAACAATTGTATTTATTTTTCCCTTCTTCTGTCTTCTCAGGAGCAAGCCTCCCCCGCCTCATTCTCCTCACTCCTCCCTCCTCCTCTTCCTCTTCTTCCTTCTCCTCTTCGCTTCCCCTCCCAGCGTTCCCTCTTGCTCCTGCCTGCTCCTGATGCTACTGCTGCTGCTGCTGTTGCTGCTGCTGTTGCTGTTGCTGCTGCTGCTGCTGTTGCTGCCCCTCCTCCGACTCCTCCTCCTGCTCTACTCGCGTCGTCCCTCTTCCTTCCCCCTTCAAATAGATCGCATCCGTGTCGCGGCCCCGGGACCTTCGAAAAGGCACAAGACGAAACCGAACAGACCAACTTCTTTGGAAGGGTAAGACGAGTGAGCGGAGAAAAATGCGCTGAGACCCGTGCCAGTATCCAGGGCGCTCTGCAAAGAGAAAGAAGAATCCTCCAAGACGCCCAGGATGGCCGCCAAGGCGCTCCCAAGACTCGGCCAAGATGGCAGCAAAACGGCCCGACATTGCTCCAAGATGTCCCATGCCAGGCCCAAGGATCCTCAATATTCCAAATCAGCCCAAGAGGCGTTCGCGAGCGACCGAAGGAACCCCGAAACACGCAAGCGGCGACCAGTGGAATCGCCGAAACGCACGCTTTTATTACAGCAGAAATGAGTGAACATACTCGGTGCGTGCCAAGCCCTGCGGGGCAAAGTTTGTTCACCAATTTCCTGCGTAATCTCTCTCTCTCTCTCTCTCTATATATATGTATTCAGAACTTTGGCTGGCCGCATAGGGGGCAGCCGTGGGGCTCTCTCGGGGCCCTGTTGGGCGAAGATGGCCGCCAATGCGCTTCCGAGCAGCCGTGGTGCCGCCAGCGCGGCCCCGTATTTTCCCAGAGCTCCCACGACGGCCACAGAGCTCTCCAAAAGGACACATAATCGGCTCGAAAGACCGTTACAAAAACGCCCGAAGAGGCCGAAAAACAAACGAGCGGCGACCGGAATATTTGCCCAAACGCACGCTTTTAAGTGCCAGGGTGGGTGAGCAGACTCGGCTCGTGTCAAGCACTGCGAAGCACAATTCGTTCACCCATGTTGTACGTAGAAAACATTTACAGGCCTGATGGGCCATATGGGGGCCCCCTAGGGCGCCTGTTCGGACGCAGCGCAAAGCAACGCAACGCAATGCAATGCAAGTCAACGCAACGCAATGCAAAACGAAACACTGCAAAACAATGCGAAGCATTGTGCTGGCTTCGAATGCATCCGAAATATCATCGCCGGTGGCTTCAAACAGTCCCCCTGAAATATCTTCGCCCGCAGGCGTAACGCTGCCCCGAAACATGTTCACCCCCCCGCCTCAAGAACGGCCCCCCCGAGGTATGCTCACCCCCCCCGTGGCTAAAAACACTGCGCCCGAAATATCCCCCCCTGGCCTAAGACTGCCCCCAAAAGGTCCCCACGCACTCCAGGCTTAAACCTGCCCCGCTAATTCAGTGTACCTCGCGATCAGCAAAGTACGAAGTGCGCCCGCAAATCACGGCAAAGCTGTTTCCGCAACAGCACAGGAGACAGCGAGTGAAATGTCTTCGGGTTTCTTATTTGTGGTGTTGCAGATGCGGGGTACTTTGTCAGGGGCAGAGACCCATGCTTGGATTCCCGGGGCTCTCGACGTGGTAGCGCTTTTTGCTGACCTGCCCGCATGATTTGTTGTTGTTTTTGTCCTCGGATCCTTTTTGGGAACCTCTCTGGGCTTTTCGAAGGTCGCTCGGGAGTGTGCTTGCGATTTCGGGGGTTGTCTCTGGGCAGAATGCTCGAAGTGTCTGTCTGCGTTCCCCTCCCGGGCGCCCCTTGGAATTCTCTTGAAGAGCTCTTCGACGGAGAAACGAAAATGGAAGACGGGCAACGGGCGCCGGAAATTGGAAGGCGACAGCCAGAAACCAGCAAACGGCAACCAGATCATGAAAAAAGGAATTCGGACAACGGAGACCGGTTTCCAGAAAATGGACTTATGTTTTCCGATCGAGCGTTCCGTTTTCCGCTTCCTTTTTGGTCCAGCGCCCCCGCTGACGGGGAGCATTTGCGGAATAGTTCTGACAGGAAGGGGCGGGGGCAGCGGGCCCCTATTGACTTGGGGCGCCCAGCGCGCGGGGAAAGTTTCGTTGGCAGCAGTCGGCAATGCTGCATAATCTATGTATGTATGTACGTATGTATGTACATGTATATATACACACGTCGTCGTTAAAGATTTTATGAATGCACGAACGACGTAGTTTCATCCGCAGTCGGCACTATTGTGGAGCAGCCGCTATCCAATTTGGCCGGACAAGCACGCGCCTTCCGCGGCGGCAGTTCCGGGTTGCCACTTGGGGCGTTGAGGGTTTCACAGACGCGAAAGAGATTGAGCTTGCATAGCGCATGCGCCAACTGAGCATCGACATGTTGTGCTTGCAAGAGGTGCGCAGGGAGGGGCATATCATGCGTATCGGACGGCGGCTACATGCTCATTTTCTCCAGGTCCGTGGACGAGGAGGAAATGGGGACGGCGGGCGTTGGCTCCATCGTCTCCCCGCGGCTGCGCTCGAGTGTCATCGGATTCGGGCAAGAGGCGGCAATGATGGTGCGCGTGAAGCTGCGGGTGCGAGGCGGGGAAGCTATCGTCGGAAGCGCGTGCGCGCCTCATAGCGGGAATAGCTTGGAGGACAGGCAGAGATTCTTCACCTCTCTCGAAGGTTTTCTCGCGCAGACGTCGCGGCGCGGTCCGATGGTTTCGCTCGGGGGCTTTAACGCGCGCCCGCGCAGGCGCCGCCCGCGAGATGGGCATGTCATGGGGCCGCGCGTGTTTGGGCATCCCGCGGCTGAGCGCGACGCGGCTTCCAGCCGTAGTTCGCTTGTTGATCTGTGCGGGCGCCGCGAACACTATGCAGGCAGCGCGGTGTTCAATGGGCCGGCGCTTTGCCGGGTCACTTGCTACGGCGTGGGCAAGACGCCGTCCGACCCCGCGCGCCAGATTGATGTCGCTGTGGTTTCGCAGAATTGGGCTGAGCATTTGCAATCAGTGGCTAGCGGCGAGGACCTGGCACTGGCGTCTCGCCACTTCCTCGCGCGGGATGAAATGGGCATTGCGGTGCCGATCGAGGTCCGCCGCGAGCGTCCGCGTCGGCATGATTTGCGGGCTCTCCAGTTGCCGGAACATGCCGATCGTTTCGCCGTGGCCTTTGCCGACGAGAGGGGGGCCGCGGACGCGGGCGACGCTGGGGCAAGCGGCGTCGACGCTGCGGCCGTGGCCTCCTTCGAACAGGCGTCCGCCACGCTACCTCTAGCGCCGCCAGCGCCGCGGAAGCTGTAGATTTCGGGCCGCGCCGCGACGCTCGTCGAGAATCGTGCCGAGGCCAGAGCGCGGGGCATGCCGGCAGAAGAGAGGCGCTTTAACCGCGTCGTCACGAGCTGTGTTGCAGCGGTCAGGGCGGCGTCGTTGGAACACCTCGTTTCGACGGGCGACTGGGGCCGGGCGCGGCGCTCCCGTAAAAGGAGCCAGGCGGGGGCAAAGCAAGTTTCGCGACCTGCGCGGCGACGTGGTTGACTCCGCGGCCCGCGCGGGCGCGCTGGCGGACTTCCCGGCGGGGGCGCAGCGGGCCGCGCGCGAAACCGCGCCGATATTGTGACGGCGCCCCTCGGCCCCGACTTGCCGGTCAATTTGGGGCAGATCGAAGGTGGGGAGGTGACCGGGGCAGCCGATTGCATGAAGTGGGGCAAGGCGTCCGGTAGTGACGGCGCCCCTGGCGACTTGGCAAGCGGTCTGCGCTCGCGACTCCCAGGCGAGAGTCACGGGTGCCAGCGTTGCGCTGGCGTTGTTGGGGCGTCAGCGTCGCGCCATAATATTGCCGCCATCCCTTGGTAATTGCCGTATTCAAACAGGAAGGTGTCGCGCTGTGCGGCAACTAGTGCGCCTGCTACAGGCTTGGCGCAAGTTGTCGGCCGCCGCCCGGGGGGCGCCGGGGCCTGTGGCCGCGTCGGGGGGGCCCGGTTTGGCTTCGAATCGCGCCGCGGCGCCGCCGGCGCCATCTTCCTCGCCGGGCGGGGGCTGGAAGAAACGCGGTCGAGCGCAGAGGGCCAGCTCGTGCTTCTCGCTCTGGACTGGGCCAGGGCGTTCGATGGCATCACGCCCGGGCCTCTGCTGAGGGCGTTGCGGCGTTTCGGGGTCCCAGAGAAAATGTTGACAATGATTCGAGCATTGTGCGCGGGCAGGAACTTCGCGACGCGCGAGACAGGCGCGACGTCCCAGGCCCGCGTGCAGCGCGCGGGAATTTGTCTTCTCCCTCTCCTCTTCGCCATGGGGATGGTCGCGCGGCTGCGCGACGCTCGGGGCGCGCTGGGCGACCGCGTGGGAGACGCGGAGGAGCTGTAGTGCGCGTTGACGACGCGTTCGTCGTAGGCGCCAGCGCGGAGCGCGCGCGGGAGTGCACGGCGGTCATCGTTGTCGCTGGCGGGTATTGCGGTTTCAAGTTCAATTGGGGAAAGATCGAGTTGCTGGCAATCTGGTGCCGGAGGGCGCGGCGAGACCGGGCGGTGCCCAGATCGCCGAAACGAGCTCGGTGGTTCATTGGGGGTGCGTCTTGCGTGGCGGCCCATGGGCTAATCCTTCTGAGCTGAGCAGGTGGCTTGGTTGACCCGGGGTCGACTCGGGCAAGGGCGTCGAGCTCGAGTTAGACGCCCTTGCCCGAGTCTGGTTTCCTCCCACCTTGTCCACGCAGCGGAAGTTGCAGATCTTCGAAGCTTGCGCGCGGACGATGTTGCTGCGCGGATTGCGCGCGCCGTGGTTCCGTGAACACGAGTTGGCCAATTTCGAGTGCGGTGTCTGAGGAAGGTGTCAGGGATGCCGCATTCATACAGTAGTCGCATCTCGCGCGCTGTAGTGGTGGACGGGGCCCGCCGGCCGCCCTTGAGTCACGTCCTGTCGCTCTGTCAAGCATGTTTTTTTTTGCGCAGATGACTCGGCGCACAGAGTGCGGTCTTCAGCCGTCTTCTTCGGAGCTGCGTCCGCCAGCCAGCACACGCCCTCGGGGCAGGCCGAAACAATCATGGTCGAATGAGTTGTATAAGCACGCGAAGAGAGTCGGCGAGAGCAACGCGTATGATTTTCGACAGGTCGCTGAAATTCCAGCAGAAGCTTGGAAAGCCGCTGCGCGATACTATTGCCCACAGGGTTGCATCACTGCACATGTGCTTCGACACCCGGCTTACGTTCATTCCAAGTTCTTTCATATAGGTAAGTACATTCCTGATATTTCATTGCGGGAAGTGGTCAATTAGAAGCAAACCGTCTGATAATCTTCAATCGCAAATCGCCATCCTTAGGACGTCAACGCCGCGGTCCATCGTGACTGTTGCGTTCTGACAATCCTCAATCTTGCCAGATCACCATTCCTGGGATTTCAACATCGAAAATCCACCTGGCTACTGCGTCCTGTCAGTCTTAGATCGTGCCAGGACCTTGTTTTTGGGACTACAACCGAACGAATCCTTCAAGTTGTTGTAAACATTCAACACGACTGCGCCCGGCGCAAAGGCCAGAACCACATTTAGAAAAAAACGCCCTCCATCCTTCAAATTGCTGCAACACGTTATGACGAATGTGCGCCGCGCGAATGCGAGATCCACATTTGACAAAGAACCTCCCTCCATTTTTGAAACGGCTGCAAATTTCTAAGACGAATTTGCACGGCATTGACGCCAGAACCACATTTTGAAAACGACCCGCCCTCGGACCTTGAAAGTGCTGCAGATTTGAAGCTTCAGGGTCACGTACGGTGACGAAGTCTCCGGCACAACGCCCAGCCCACCCGACCAAGACGTCTGGGGGAGCGACAGGGGAGTCGGGATGGAGGAGGAAGAGGAAGAGGAAGATGAGGAGGAGGAAAAGGAGGAGGAGGCGGAAAAGGAGGAGGAAAAGGAGGAGGCGCAGGGGAAGGAGAAGGAAGAGGAGGAACACCGAAATGGGGGTGGAAAGGATAGGGGCCACGGCCGACATCAGCTCCTGTCCACCTCGAGCAGGATTCAGTGTCGACCGCCGAGGAATTGGTAGATATTTGTAACAAGTATCGGCGTCGCCTGCCAACAGTGGCCGTTGTCGGTTTTGCGCAACATTTGCCGTCGGGCATCGCCCCAATCTCTTCCGTCCAATCCCGGGCGTGCCAGGAAGCCGTCGAGGGGGACAGCCAATGGGACTTGGCGCTGGAGCTCGAGGCCAGCCGCATCGAGAAGCAGAGGGAGGCGGAGCTGGAGCCGGGGACCCAGAAAGCTGCACGAACCCCGCGTGCAGTGCGCAGCTCCTTCGTCTCTATGGGAGAAGCGATGGTCGTCCGAAGCCGGGGCGGCGCAGGCGGAGCGAAGGCTGCACGAAGCCAGGCTCCGGGCGGCTCGTTGCGTCGTCGGCCCCCGCGCGGTTCGTCTCCAGTTTGGCCTGCGGTGGCCGCGGGCGGGCCCCGGGGCCACCAGCAGGAGGAGGTGGGATCGGCGTCGCCCCAACATTCGGGGGCGGCAGAGAGGGGGGTGATGACTAGGGGGGGGTGGATATCATGGCGGGGGCCATGATACTTCCTCAGATTTCATGGCGCCTCTTCTTATTTCATTACGTCCCAGCCCCTCTCGCTGGGCCGCGCACGTGCCGCCGGTCATGATTTGCACCCCCCTCTCGTGGACACCCCCCTCTTGGCCGCTCCCGAAACATACTCGTACGATATGTGCGTCGCCCCCCCCCAGGGGCGACGCGCGCACCGAGGAATCTTGGAGTGTATATGCGTCGTGGCGGGCGCTTTCTGGCCACACTCCGCTCGGGAAACGGTATTCAGCCACGGGCAGAGGGGGGTTGGGGGGAGGGGGGAGGGCTTCTTAGAAGCACCCCTGCTTCTCAGAAGGCGCGGGCCTTATCTATAGGTGTAAGGCCAGCTCCTTCTAAGAAGCAGCCTCCTTCGAAGAAGCCTTCCCCCCTCCCTCCACCCCCTTTCGCGCACCGCCAAGGTATACTGCAAGATGGACATATAATATGTTCGGGTTGGACGCGCGCCTCCAAGGAGGATATACAGTATTGGTATGTCCCAGTGCGTCCCATGGGACGAAGAACCCCGGGAAGGACGAGAAGGTTTTGCATTGGGATGGGCATGCGTCTGCAATACTAATCGACCCCCTTCTCCAGGATGCGCTTTGGCTGGGTTTTGTGGCCCACTTGGGTCTGCTGCAACGTGCATTTTCGGGCCGCGCCCCCAAGGCGGCATTGAGATTCCAGTTGGGTTTGGGAAACCTTGCTCTGATGTTTCTGTGAGCCTGCATTTGCACTTGATTCGTAGAAGAGTAGTGGCCGAGCGTCCACGCCAAGGTTTGCAGCAGCGCTCCCCCCGTCTCCGCAGCAATCTGCTCCAGGGGCCCCACGGGGCCGTGCCAGCAGCGCGCGTGCTGCACTGCGCACGCGTGGAGCCCAGCACAGGAAACCGCTGCGGGGAGGGGATTCGAGGCCGTCCGGGGCCCACGGGCGGAGCAGCCAGCGCGAGAGCCGCGTCGCTGGCGGAGACCCCCCCCCCCGCGGGACGTCCGAGAGCGACGGGGGAGGGACGCACCAGCTTTTGGTGAAGACGAGCGCAGGCCAGCAACTTACGAAGCGAAAAAGGGCAACTCGCTACAGTCGGGCCGCTGAAGAAGGAACCCTTGTCGTTGGGGAGGGGCTCAGTGTTCCTCAATTGTTTTGCAGTTTGTCTTAGTTAGTCCCGAGGTTTTCTGTGGGAAGTCGAAGTTCAACTGATGGAAAAAGTGGCCTCGTTCCTTATTTAGGGTTCCTTCTGACAGCGTTTCGACTGTAATAGACTTGGCAGTGTGGGGCTTCCATCAACCTCCGGGAGTGTCGCGTCTGTGAGGTCTGCTGGCCCTCCAGGAGCGGGAGGACATCGACGCCCTGGCCGAGCTGGAAGACGTGCTCGGCGTCGGCGGGGGCAGCGGCGGCGGAGCCGGTGGGGACGACCTCGGCCAGGGCCGGTGGTCGATCGGTTCGGCGGAGCGCACCCCAGAGGACAGCGGCATCGTCAAGGGGCTGTGCTCGAGGTTCGAGGTGTACGGGCGTTTGCGACGGCCCGCGGCGGTTTTCCGGCCTCGGGAGGTTCTCCCGCAGCTGCGCCTCGCCGAGAGCGTTCAATGGGGTGCCCGAGAGTCGTCCCGAGCGGCCGCCGGAGGGCGGAGCTAGGACCCCAAGAGCCAGGGGGCAGCGTACATGCTCCGCGTGCGGATCATGTATTAAAAATGCAGGGATTTAGTATTAAAACAACGATGAGTTCATGCATAAATTTACTCACAAATTGATCAGGTATTAAAAACCATATACTTTTAAAAATCAGATGTATTAAAAACTGCGCTGTAGGCTCAGGGGGAAAACACGTCGACCCCCCATTGCCCATGGATCGCCGATGGGGGCCCGACGGGCCCACCTTCGCCCGAAGACGCGCGGAGTCGCCGTCGGAGGGCTGACGCCGAACTGTCGGAGCTGTTGGGCCCGACTCGGGCTCGATGCTTCCCCCATGGGCCGGCCCCCCCCCTGCTGCTGCCCCTCGGAGGAGGAGGAGGGCGCGATCACGGATGCCCTCACCTCCGACGACCTCTGAGGCCTTGGAGGCGACGCCCTCGGCATCCTTGCAGACGACGGCCGCGCGGCACGCGACCTCGACCTCGGCCTGGCGGTCGACCGGCGCGGCGGAGCAGCACAGAGGAGCGGAGCGGCAGAAGGCGGCACGAGCATGAGCTTCCGGAGGCTGGCGCGGAGCTCTTGGCTCGGAGCTGGGCCCTCGAGTGCTCCGCGCGCCAGGGCGCGGGGGAGTCGGCGCCGGCCCAGGAACTCCTCGCGGACCTTTGGGCGTGAGCGTTCATGCTTCTGTTCTGTCCTGCTGCCCAGGTCGGGGGGTTGAGAGAGGTGCCTCTGGCCCAAGGTTCAGCCACGCGCAGAGGGGGGTGGGGGGAGGGGGGAGGGCTTTTTAGAAGCACCCCTGCTTCTTAGAAGGCGCGGGCCTTATCTATAAATGTAAGGCTGGCGCCTTCTAAGAAGCAGCCTGCTTCTAAGAAGCACTCCCCCTCCCCCCACCCCTTGTGCGCGCCGCCAAAAGGTGCCCGCAGCTGTTCGCTCCACCTTGGAGCCTTTCGGGCACCCTGGGCCTCGCGAGGGGTGCTCCGGAGGCCGTCGGGGCCTCCTTGGAATCCTGGGGGCACCTTCTGCCAGGGGCCGTTCTAGCAACACCCGACCAGAGGAGGACGCGATCACAGATGTCCTCACCTCCGACGACCTCAGAGGCTTCCGAAGCACTCGTTGCACACCCGCGGATGCGTGCGCGCTTCTTCCCATAGCCTTGGCGGTCCCTTCGACGGGGAATGATCACAGCAAGGCCAATGTCGCCGTTGGCGGCCTTCCAAGCGATGACGATCCAGATGCAGCTTGGGGCCAGCCTGGGTTGCGAGAGGGTCGTGAATGTCTGAGCTTGGCATCTTGGCATGAACCCGTAACCGTACCGGTTCGGACAGCAGTCGACGCTGCCGACAACAAAAGCGAGCCCGACACATTTTGCGCATCATTCCTCCGCCTTCGCCTGCTGCGCGCTCTTCGCCATATGTTTGTCTTTCTCTCGCTTTTATCTTCTCACTCTGAGCCTCCCCCTGCTCCCCCTCCTCCGTTGGTTAACGCGCGACGGCCGTTCTTAAAAAAAAACAAGACGATTGAGAACGGACGACACTAGTAATAAACATATTGATACGAACAACAATGCACTGAACACTACAACCCAAAACGGACGAATAATCGAGTTACTTCGATGGACAGCGACCAGCTGAGGAGGGGAGGAAGATGAGGACGATGACGATGCTGATGATGATGATGATGATGATGCTGATGTTGATGCCGATGATAATGATGATGCTGATGATGACGAGGAGGAGCAGGACGATTATGATGATGCTGATGATGCTGATGCTGATTTTGATGATGATGATGATGATGATGCTGATGATGATGTGGATGATGATGATGATGATGATGATGATGATGATGATGATGATGATGATGATGATGATGATGATGATGATGATGATGCTGATGATGATGATGATGATGATGATGATGATGATGATGCTGATGATGGTGATGATGATGGTGATGATGATGATGATGATGATGATGATGATGATGATGATGATGATGATGATGATGATGATGATGATGATGATGAGGAGGAGGAGGAGGAGGAGGAGGAGGAGGAGGAGGAGAGGAGGAAGAGGAGGAGACGAAGGGAGGCGGAGGCGGAGGCGGCGCAAAGAGGAGGAGCAGGAGCGGAGGCGGAGGAGGCGGAGGAGGAGGAGGAGGAGGAGGAGGAGGAGGAGGAGGAGGAGGAGGACGAGGAGGAGGCGGAGGAGGCGGAGTCGGAGGAGCAGGTGGAGGATGGATCCCCCTCGCCCCGATCTCGCTTCCTGACCGGCCCCGAGCACCCGGCGGGCGGCGGCGGCCCCTGGGCCGCAGGGCGTCTGGCGGGCGGGCTCCGTGCGGGGCCCGGGGCGCCGCGATGAGCCGCGGGGGGAAGGCCGACGGCCCCAGCCTGGCGGCGGCGGCAGCGGCGACGGCAACGACGCCCTCGGCGGCGGCGAGGCCGAGGGGCGGCGGCGGCGACGTGATGACGGCGAGGGACTCGGCATCGCTCGGATATGCGCAGTTGTTTCCGGCGAGGGCTATCGAGGAACGTTTTGGGCCACTTTGCTGAAAAAAGAACGCGCGAGACCGAAGCATGCACGGGGAATCGGGGAATGGACGTCCGAGCGATCGCGAGGGAAAGCCTGGCGACGCCTTGGGTGCGGGCGGCGGCGGCGGCGACGACGTCTTCGTTCTACGGGTTCTCTGGCGCTTCGGGGGAGTCGCCGCCGCGGGAGACTGGTTGGGGTGGACCCCGGGAGGGTCTGGGAGCCTTGAGGGGATTTCGGTCGGCCGGCGTCGGTACGGCAACGACGCGATAAACCGCGAGGGGAGGGTCAACGAACCCTGAGGTCCTGGCGGCGTAGTTTCTTCACGCCGGGCACGTTCTCCCAGGTTTCGGGCCTCAGGGCCTTCACGGTTCGATCAGACTCGAGTACTGCCGCAGATGGATGGGGTCCAGGGCTTTTGGGTCGTGATGTCCTACGATGCAGCACTTTTGGCAACATCGGATCTCAGGGAGGACGCCGACGACGACGACGACGACGTGTTGACGACGACGACGACGACGACGACGACGACGACGACGACGACGACGACGACGACGACGACGACGACGACGACGACGACGACGACGACGACGACGACGACGACGACGACGACGACGGCGGCGCGCCGCCAGCAGGTCGCGGTGGTGACGGGGTCCAACTCGGGCATCGGCAAGGCGCCGACCGTCGCCCCCTCGCCGCGTCGAGGGTGGAGCTTCGCGGGAGGAGGAGCGAGGATCGGGTGGTGCAGGAGGGGAGGAAACGCACAGGCACGATTCATCGTCGACTCCCAGGAAGATATGGGAAAAGATGGGAAGTGGGGGGGAAGACAAAAACCCAGAAGATGTGGGGAAATATGGGGAATCCTGTTATTTGTGTGTATTTAGTTGTGTGTCCCAGGGCCCCTTCAGTGGTGTCCTCTTCGGGCCTCTGGCAGCGACGAGCCCTCGCCGAGTCCGTGTTTTTCACGGTCTTCGTCCTCCTCGGGGCTCCAGGAGCGCTCTCGTCGCCACGGTTGGGTTCCCCCTCGAAATTCAAGTCGAAGCGCTTCCCTGGAGAGTTTCAGGGATATGGTTTTTGAGGGAGGAGGAGGGGGAGGAGGAGAGAGAGGAGGAGGAGGAGGAGGAGGAGGAGGAGGAGGAGGAGGAGGAGGAGGAGGAGGAGGAGGACCAGAGTAAATTCAACATGCATCAACGACGCTGCAATGCACCCTGCCGTCCTTTGGCCTTTCCTCCTCAGTTCTTGCGAGCCTCCCTTTTTCACTACAAGAAACACCCCCCTGGAAGGCCACCACCCTACGGGTCTGCTGTTTAGGCGAGAACTTTGTTTTGAAAAGGAATTGCCTTGCTCTCTTAGGGAGCAGCATGGGATACGAGAAAGTGTGGTCTCCCCGTTTTGAAAAACGCCCGTCCATAGGTGTGTAACCGCAGCTCGAGTTTACAAATACGGTGCATCTGGGCATGATCCTCGAGGAAATCTCAGGCAAGGCCCGATGCCCAAAAGAACACGCCCTTCGTCTGCGCAGCTGTCACATCTGTTCCAATGTGTATGTGTGTGTGTGTGTGTGAGCTTGAGCTGTGCTTGCATTTAGTCGGAAACTGGAACATATACATTACCAGTGGCGGGCTGTTTCTCAATCCCAGGACTTCTTGAGGGTCGAGGACGACGCTGGGGTGGTGTGGTGTATGTTTTTTTCGCCGATGTCCCGGGAAAACAACGAAAACTGTATACACCAGGGTCCCGTATGCACCGGGATCCGCTCCCCGGTGCAAACTCCATCGCAGGGCCGGAAGAAGCGTCGGTGTATAGAGTTCGATTCTTTATTTAGGTGTTCTTGCTTCTGCCCCTAAGGAGTTCAATGGGTCCACCGAGGTCCCGCCCACGCTGCCGTCCGCGGGCGCTGCGTCCAAACCTGAATGGCGGCACCCTCCCCCTCCCCTCCTCCCCAGACCTGAATGGCTGCAGCCCCCCCCCCTCTCTGTCCAACCCCCTTCCGTCCTTCAAACCGAATGGCGGCCCCCCCCTTCCAAAACTGAATGGCGGCCCCCCCCCCCAAACCTGAATGGCGGCAGCCTCCACCCCCCTCCAAACCTGAATTGCCCTCACCTTCCTCCCTCCAAAGCTGAATGGCGCCCCCCAACCAAACCTGAATGGCCCCCCCCTCCAAACCTGAATGGCGGCAGCCCCCCCGGCCCCTCCAAACCTGAATGGGTGCAGCCCCCCCCCCCCTTCCCCGGTAGAGCCACCCTGGCACCCCCCAAATTCCCTCCAAACCTGAATAGGGGCAGCCCCCCCCCCTCCACCCCCTTCCCTGGCAGAACCACCCCGGTCCCCCCCAGCGCCCCCCCCAAATCTGAATGCCCCCCCCTCCAACCCCGAATGGCGGCAGGGCCCCTCTTGGGGCCTCCTGCTTCTTGGGGTGGAAGGCTTGGTTTTTAGGTTCGTGTTCCCTCTTTTGGGGCCGTTTTGGGGCCCTCGTGGGCCGTTTTGGGCGCCTCTTGGGCTGTCTTGGGGCCCGTTTGGGCCGTTTTGGGGTCCTCTTGGAGGCCTCTTGGGCCGTTTTGGGGCAGTCTTGGGGGCCTCTACGGCCGTTTGGGAAAACCCTGTAACCGTAAAGGCGAAAACGCAATGATTTTTCAAGTGCCTTAGGAACATCAATGATTTCGGCCTCTTGGGGTCCTCTTGGGGGGCCTCTTGGGGGCCTCGTTGGGTGTTTGGGAGGCCCCTTTGGCCGTCTGGTGCCCATCTAAGGCGTCTTGGAGCGATCGTTCGGCGACTCGGGACTTCCTTGGGCCGTCTTGGGAGTGCTGGTCCGTCTTGGGGCCATCGTGGGTCCGAGCAAGTCAAGCGGGAAGCCGCGGCAAGCCTCTGGGGGCTCGCGCCAATCCCACGAAGATTTGAGAATTGGGGTCCCTCTAGACTCCTCAGGACTGAGGACTGCAGCTCAGGGGACACGCCCACTCGGTGCTCAGAGGCACGGTGGCAGTTTGGTGTCCATGCTGGCAGACATTCGCTATAAGGGGAATATCATGCGAGAGTCCATTTTGAAGAGGCCTGTGCTCAGTCATTAGAGCATTTGCGAACTTTTAAGACGAGTGTGCGCGGCGCTAAGGCGAGAGCCTCATTTTGCAAACGACTAGTGTTCCATATATGTAATTGATGCAATATTTTGAAGCAGATCTGCGCGGTGCTGAAACGATATTCCCACCTTGAAACAGCTGCAGACGTTGAAAATAAGTGTGTATGTCGCTACGGCGAGATCCGAATTGCGAACGGAATTGCCCTCCATCCCTGAAGTTGTTGTAGACTTTCGAGACGATTGTGCGCGGCGCTGAGAGGAGAGCCCCACTGCGAAAACGATGTGCTCCATCCTTGTTTGACTCTTGCAAGCTTCTAAGACGAACGTGAACGGCGCTAAGCCCCTTTTTGAAAACTCCTGGGTTCCGTCCTTGAAGCATCTGCATTTTAAGAGACGAATGAACCCGGTCTTCAATGTAGAAACGATTTGTGAATTTATTTTCGAAATCGCATACTTATCAAACGAATGTGCGCGGCGTTGAGGAGCGATCCCCATTTGAAAGAGATATGTGCTCCGCCCTTGGATCTTTTGCAGACTTTGAATCAGATGTTGCTTGGCGTTATTTCGGGCTCGAGCCTCATTTTGAGAACGAACTCCCTCCATCCTCGCTACGATTGCAGATTAACGTACGCGGCGCTTAGGCGATAGCCCCATTTTGAAAAGCTCCCCTCCACCCTTCAAGCTGTTGCAGATGTCAAGCTTCAGGATCATCAATGGTGCGGAAGTCTCAATCGAAACGCCTGGCCCGGATGATGAGGAGGAGGAGCGATGAGCGACAAGCGAAGAGCCAAGAGAAGGAGGTGGAGGATCGAGCGAGGATCAATGAGGATTAGCAGGATCGACAAGGATCGAGGACGAGCAGGAAGAGGAGGAGGGCCGTGGATCGAAGTGTTTGGTATTATGTGTGCGTTTCTTGCGCTTCTGGGTACCTCGCGAAGAGAATGAGGAGGAGGAGGAGGAGGAGGAGGAGGAGGAGGAGGAGGAGGAGGAGGAGGAGAAGGAGGAGGAGGAGGAGGAGGAGGAGGAGGAGGAGGAGGAGGAGCAGGAGAAACATCTCCTCGTCCTCCTCCGTCTTTCTCGCCCCATCCCGCCTCCCTCCCTCCTCCGCCTCCTCTTCTCCGAGCCCCTCCCCCTCCTCACCCAGGGATCTGGCCCCGAGTCCTCAGCGAAGCTCTGCGATCCCGGAGGAAGAGGAGCACCCCCCAGTGAAGGTGCAGGTGGATAATGTCGCTGGGCGACCAGGCAGAGTCTCCGGGGCCTCCCTCCTCCGTCTCGGCGGCGACGACTGCCCTCGCGCGCTTCCCTCCCCGGCCAGCGGGCAAGGAGTCTGCCCGGCAGCTCGTGGCGAGAGGCTTCCACGTCGTCCTGGCGTGCCGCAGCCAGGATGACGGGGGGGGGGCAGGCGCGGGCGGGGGCCCTTCTCCGAAGCACCCCGAGCGACTTCGGCCTTGCAGCCAAAGAGCGCCGAGATCAGGATCGCTCCGGGCTCTCGAGGGGCCGTGGATCTCTCGGGCCGCCGCTTCGCTCGAGGTGGTGGGGCGCACTCGTGCCCGAGGCTCGCTCCGGGTCCGAGGAGGGGCCGCGAGGGACGCGGTGGCATGCTGGCTGTAGACACGGGCTTCTCGAGGTTCAAGAGGGGAAAAAAACACACAGACACAATTCATCGGCGATTCCCGGAAAATATTGGAAATATGGGAAGTGGGGGGGAAGACAAAAGCCCAGAACATGTGGAAAACATGAGGGGAGAATTTTGATTTGTGTGTATTTCTTCGTGTGTCCCAGCTTCCCTTCAGAGGTCCGCGCGGACTCCTTGGGCTTGCGCTGGGCACCCTGCCGTGGCGCGCGGCGCGCGCCGGGGGCCATGGGGGGTCCCGCGCCGGCCCGAGGAATCTGCGCGGACCTCCAACAGGGTATGTATGCATGTTCGGCTGTTCCTCGAGGCGCTCGGCGTTCACCGCCCGTCCACTCCAGTTCTCGCCCGAAGGGGCGGAGATGGCATCAGGACAGTATGAACAGATTCGGAAACGAGAGAAGACTCTCCCGAAGGCGTGTGTGTGTGTGTGTGTGTGTGTGTGTATGTGCATGCACAGTCGGCCCGGATCAGGAGGTCGACCCTGCCAAATCAAGGGTGCTTCTGTGTCCCGTGTCTCGCGACCCGTGCCGCCTGCATTCCTAGGGCGACGTGGCCCTCGGAAGGGTCTTTTGTCCTCTCGCGTGTCCTGTCCAATCAAGTCCGACTGTATGCAAGTATGTGTGTGCAAGTATGTGTGTGTGTGTGCGCGCGTGTAGCTCTTAACCGGAAGAGGCTCGCTCTCGACCCGCCGACCAAAAAGTGTGTGTGCGCGTGCGCGGCAGCGCTCCACTAGTTGGGACGCCCTTCAAGGCGATCCCGTCTCGCGTGCCTGGCGCCCGCGGTCGCAGCCCTCCGCGCCCTTTCGGCCGCCTCGCTGGCACGCCCATTGCCGACCTTTTACACCACGGCAAGGCCCTCGTTCCTGAGAGTTGCATCCAGCTGGGCCACCTGTAGATAGCCTTAAGTCGGGTCTTTCCCTCTACAGGGGGAATATTCAAAAATAGTCAAAACATAGTTTGGGAGCTATTTCTTGAATATTTTTGGGCATCTTTTGAATATGTTTTTGGTATTTTTAATTTTCCGTCCAAAATCCCCCTGTAGGGGGGACAGGCCCGACCTAAAGATAGCCATGTGGCGGGACTTTCTCATCTCAGCCAGCAGCAGGCGAAGTGGGCCGACCCTTCGCATTGCCCCAGCGAGCTTCTCAACCAGTTCTTGCAGCGTGCTTGCGGGTACGAAACCGAAAAGGATCACCCTGCCCAGACGGTTTCACCGTCCGGCTGTCCCCGCGGCCTCGACCCCGCCATTGCCTTCGCCGCAGGACCTCTTGGCGCGCCTCCAAGACGTCCAGACCCGCGCCCGGGCAACCCGACATCTGGCGCGAATTCCTCACCGCAGCCTTCCCGCCAGGCTCCCTTTCCCCTCACCTCGACCCCAATCTCAGCCACCCAGAGATGACGGGCGCGGTCGTGGAAGGTTGGGAGTCGCACCGGCTGAACGACCGGAGGACTCACGCTCTCGCAGTAGCGCTAGCTCGCCAGGCTGCTTGTCAAAGCACGGCTAATGGATGGCCGCCAGCCAGAAAGCCCGCCGTCGTGTTTTTTTCGCGACGCGAGTATGTGGGGGATTGTCCACCCGATTTGCTTCAGGACTCGAGGGAGCGCAACTATGGATCAAGGCGCGTGGATTAGCGACGGGTCCCGCTCTCATGCAGCATCGGGGCGTTCCGTCGCCAGGTCGGGCGGCATCGGTGCTTTCTCCTCGATCCGTGGATATCTGGCGCTCTCGCGCCAGATCCACGGCTCCACAGTCCATGCCAGCGCGTGCCCGTTGATGCCCCCCGCCCGACTTGTTGCAAGACCACGGTCGGAAACTGGAACATGTACATCACCAGTGGCGGGCTGTTTTTCAATCCCAGGACTTCTTGGGGGTCGACGACGACGCTGGGGTGCCGTGGTGTATACTTTTTTCCCCGATGTCTTGGGAAAACAACGAAAAATGCAAACACCAGGCTCCCGTACACACCAGGATCCGCTCTCCGGTGCAAATTCCAAAACAGGGCCGCCTCGCAGTGGGGAGCAAAAGAGGGCGTCTGGGGAGGTCTGGGGGTGAGGGAGGCGAAAAGCCTGGCGGCGGCAGGGCGAGGAGGGCAGGAGAGATCTAGAGGAGGAGGAGGAGGAGGAGGAGGAGGAGGAGGAGGAGGAGGAGGAGGAGGATGCAGGGCCGGAAGAAGCGTCGGTGTACGGAGTTCGCTTCCCTGCATGGGGAGTCTGCGTGCCCGCTCCCCTGGTGCCGCCCCGCGCGCCGCCCGCCCGCCGCCCGCCCGCCAGAGGACAAGGCCGACGCTGCGGCGGCCGAGATCGGCGTGCTGGAGAGAGTGGAGGCAGCCATGGCCGGGCGGCGCCGGCGACGGCGACGGCGACGACGACGACGACGACGATGGGGACGGGGACGACGACGACGACGACGACGACGACGACGACGACGACGACGACGACGACGACGACGACGACGACGACGACGACGACGACGACGATGGGGACGGGGACGACGACGACGACGACGACGACGACGACGACGACGACGACGACGACGACGACGACGACGACGACGACGACGGGGACGGGGACGAGGACGACGACGACGGGGACGAGGAGGGCTCACCCAGTGCGGGGACGAGCGGTTACGAGAGCGACGGGCAGCGTGCAGTGGTGCAGTGGCAGCATGGGCCGTGGCCTGGAGCCTCTAGCGCGCGTGCGCCGCTGGCATCCTGGTGCGGCTCGCGCGCAAGGGTGTGCACGGAGGCGTGCCCCCCTCAGGACGCAGACGAACGAAACGAAATGCGGGCGAGAAGGACGAGGAGGACGACGAGGACGAGGACGACCAGTGTGAGGACGACGTGGGCGACGACGAGGGCGACTGGGGCGACCGGGATGAGGGGCGACTGCAGTCAAAACTTGGAAGGTCCACTTTGGTTTCAGTCTTGACTGAGCACGTGGATGTACACGGGTGAGGGAAGACTAATTGCCCAGACCCCAGACTTTCGAGGGATTCGCTGTCCCGATCCTGGCGTGCATGTTTACTTTCCAGAATTTCTCATATTTTTTAGATTCCAGAGGCCGCTTTCAGCGGCCCCGATTCCACAGATCCCCAGAGTCCGGACGATACCGAGGCCTTAGAAAAGCACAACGCGCCCCAGAACGTGCAATCGTCCGATCACGTCCACAGGCGACCACCACCGCCACCACGACCACTACGACGACCCCCGCGACGATCATCACAACGGCGGCGGCGGCTGCGGCGGCGGCGGCGGCGGCCTGGCGGCCCTGAGCCTTTGGTGCCCTCCTCGGCCACCGTGGCAGTCACGGCACTGGCGCACTCTGGGAAGCGCTCGGAGCCTCTCGACGCGTCGCAAGTCGATCTCGCACGGGTCTGCGACCGCCCACTGAGCCCGAAGCTGTCCTCCAGGACGCCCAGCGCCTCCGCGCGCCACGGGCGGCCCGTGCTCGGGGAGCCTCTCCTTTGCCATCCTGGGTTTCGTGGGTTAGCGCAAGGTCGGCTGACAACGATTGCGCACTCGGCTAGAACATGAACGAAGCGCGCGCGTTGTACTAGCATAACATCTGTGCGTTTACGAGCGTGTGCACAGGTGTATGTGTACGCATGCATGTGTTAGCCGCAGCATCACATCTGTTCTTCCGCCGTGCTTCTCATATTGCATTCTCCTCCTCCGCCTCATCCTCCTCCTTTTCCTTTTTCGTATCCTCCTCCTTCTCTTTCCGTACTTCTCTTGGCGAACAGTTTGACTTTGTAATAACGCATGATATACATGCTTTTGTGTGTTTGGATCGGTTGTATCACCAAACCACACGGTGCACATGTTTGTTTCGGTTTCTAGGAGGTCCGCACAGCTTGGCCAGGCCCCCTTCTCTGTTCATCGCCACCAGACCATATTATACACATGCGTCTGTTCATTCCCGACCAAGCAACACAACAACCTTGTGTATGTTATGGTCTGGTGTCAGCCAACCTCCTCACGAAGAGGAGTATGGAAAGCGAAGGAGGCCTGGCCGACGTGTGGGGATTTCCTGAGAACCAACACAACCCAAACAACCAACACCTGGACCACACACCAGATGTATAGTAAGTTTTAGTGGCATTCGGCGCTCCATGAAGAGGAAGAAGGACAGATAATCCGATGAAGAATTATCCTCATCCTCCTGTCAGTCCTTCTCATCATCATACCACTCCCGTGGGAGGTGGAGGAGGAAGATGAGGAGGAGGAGGTGGGGAAGGGGAGGGGAAAACGGAGGAGGAGGAGGAGGAGGAGGAGGAGGAGGAGGAGGAGGTGGTGGAGCAGGGGGAGGACGAGTGGTAGGACGACGGGAAAGCGGAGGGTAATGTGATGAGGAGGGGAGGAGCAGGAGTGGGTTGAGGAGTCACGCCTCCTCCTCCTCCTCCTCCCTCCTCCTCCTCCTCCTCCTCCTCCTCCTCCTCCCCCCTCCGTCCCGTTCATTCCTTCCCCTCCTCTTCAAAGCATACATCGCCCTGCTCCTAAATTGAGAGGAAGAGGAAACATGATATGAGAAGGAGGCGGAGGCGGAAAACCAGGAGGACGACACGCTTGAGGAGTCGCTCCTCCCCCTGCACTTGTCACTCTTCTTCTGCTTCTTCCTCCTCCTCCTACTCACCCTCCTTACAGCATTCCCCCTTCTCCTCTTCACTATCCTGTGCCACCCTTCTTCTACCACTCTTATGACAGGAGGATGATGATGATGAAGAAAAGGGATACGGATTTGAGGAGCAGGAGGAGGAGGAGGAAAAGGAGGAGGAGGAGGAGCGATGCGGCAGGATGAGGTGGAGTAGAACGAGCAATATGTTGAGGAGGAGGAGGAGGAGGAGGAGGAGGAGGAGGAGGTCGAGGAACCCTCCTGCTGGCATCACCTTTCCTACTGCTCACTATAGGAGAAAGTTGTTGAGCCACGCCTTCCCATCATCCTCTTTCTCCGGCTCCTCATCCTCCTGGTCCCATCACCGTTCCCGTTCATCCCCCTCTCATCCTCGTATCGCGCCTCCATCTTCTATATCGAGAGGAGATAGTGGACGAGTAGGAGGTGGACGACCGTGAGGAGGGCGTTGACGAGCTGCTCCTCCTCCTCCTCCTCCTCCTCCTCCTCCTCCTCCTCCTGACTCCATCATTTTTCTTCATCGTCTTGACCCTTCGTCTACCACGCGCGTTCACTCTACCAGTCCTATTAGTTAGTCAACACTTCGTGTGAGTAATTCTCATTGCAACTTTTGCCCGGTTCACTCACTTGTCTGAGTGCGGCCAGCAACGAGTTTCGAGGCTCGCGCTTCCCTCTGCCCCAGGATCAGAGTAGCCAGCGGCAGCGGCGATGTCGACCAGGGCCGACGAGCCGATCTGTTTTGCTAGCGGAGGGCTCGATTGGGGTAAGATGGTCTGGCAATTTGGTGCGATCGTGGACGGAGTGGTATGAGAAGGTGGAGGGACGTTCTGTCAGAGTCAGAGGAGGGTGACGATACCACGATCTTTCCACGCATCATGCAACTGCCCGCCTTCTGTGGTCGCTCCCGTGCTTCGCGCGTATGTCCCAGATGAGTGCCTCGGCCCAGAGATTTAACGCGCCAGGCCAAGACAGCGATGACGGTCATGCTGCTTGACACCAGCAAGATGGCCAGTGTCCTTCTGGGGGAGAGCGAACCACTGATGTTGGCAGGCTCGAGACATCCGACGTCGTGAGTTTTCCTGTGCGCGCCTCCTGGACCTCTCGACCCCTCTCCGGGAAGCTGTTTTTCGTCGTGGATCGAGTTCTCGTCACGCGGCCCAGAAGCGGCTTTACGCGCCAGATGATGTGTGGAGTAGCATCCGTGTTGTTTTCTGTTTGTTCGTGACGTTGGAGGTCTGGATGTGATTGCAGGAGTCGAGCAGGGGATCAACCACAGCATCGATTTACCCCCAAACTGATGTGTTCGTCGAATCCACGAACAAGCACGTGAAAGTTTCGTAGATGTACTGGCATTCTACGTATTTGTCGTGGCTTCGACGAGCAAATCTAAGTTTCGGGTGATCTCACTTCCGTAGCCGACCTCCTGCTCGAAGGAGCCGCTTCAAGTGCACCATGCCCCGCTGCATCACAGGTGCTCGCCGAGGGCAGCCAGTCGGTCGGGGGGGCGACATCGGCGTGACGCTCATCGGTTCTTCTTGCGCCGGGTTTCGACCCCCCCCTCGAAGCACATCGGTCGGAGATTTCGGTATGGGCGAATAGCCCTAGGGGCGGACATTACACGTATTCGCCCGGCAGCCTCGCCGAAGGCATGGACCATCGACGCCCCTGGATATGTGGATTGCTCTCCCCTGGGCTATTCGCCACCATCGTCGCCCCCGATCTCATGTGGATAGGGGAAATTCCTCGGCAGGGGGAGCCGCCCCCGCTCCTCCTCCCCTCCCTCCCTCCTCCTTCCTCCCTCCTCCCTCCCTCCTCCCTCCCTCCCTCCTCCCTTCCTCCTCCCTCCCTCCTCTCTGCCTCCTCCCTCCCTCCTCCCTCCCTCCTCCCTCCCTCTTCCCTCGTGTTCCTCCTCCATCCTGCTCCCTCATCCCTCCATTCTTTTTCCCTTTTTCTTTCTCCCTCCCTCTCTACCTCCTCCTCATTTTTTTCCTCAATTTTTTACCTTACAAATAATTCCTTCCTGTGGTAAACCCAGCCGTGTCGGTAGGGCGGGCCAGGCGTTTCGCCTGAGACTTCATCACCAGTTCTGATCCTGATTATCAAAATTCGCAACAGTTTCACGGATGGAGGGGGATCGTTTTCAAGCTTTCGAGCCGCGCACATTATTTTGAAGCACGGATGGAGAGGGTCGTTTTCAAAATGTGGCTCTCGCCTTGGCGTTGCGCATATTCGTTGTAAACGTTTGCGACGTTCTCACGCATGGAAAGGGGTCGTTTTCGAAATGGCTTTTTCGCTTCAAAGCCGCGCTCATTCAAATGTTTGCATGAGCTTCGCGGATGAAGGGTGGTTCCTCTTTCCAATATGGGACTCTCGCCTGGGGTAAGGGTTACAAGCATTGATTCCGGGGCCCGCCGTGTGAGACATCCTGAAAGAAACGCTCAAATTATGGCCTGGCTGACTGGTTGGTTGGCTGGCTGGCTGCAGGGTCAGAACATCTATTTCTGTGGCGGTTGGCTGGTTGGTTGGCTGGCTGGCTGTTGGGTCAACGAAAATCTAATCCGTACCCAGCGGTGTGGAGCATCCTCAAAAATACCACGGGAAGGACTGGTTGGTTGGCCGGTTCGTTGGTTGGCTGGCTGGCTGGTTGGTTGGCTGGTTGGTTAGTGCGTAGGCTGGATTGTTGGTTGATCGTTTGGCTGTTTGGCCACTTTAGCGTTTGTTGGTGGTCAACTTGTATTCGGCTTGTTTGTAAACGAAATCTCGTGCAATTATGAGTGCAATACAGCGCAATGCGCTGCACTGCAATGCAATGCAAACGCAATTCAATGCTAAAGCAATCCAATGGAATTCAAGGTAATGCTGTTTCAATACAATGCGGTGGAGACGGAACATCCTACACGTCACATGTCCACGCCTCAGGGCAGAAGACAAATTATTCAATTATATGCGTCATATGACAACGCCTGGGGGGAGGGGGGGGCGAACAAAAAATACTATTCCACTCCACTCGCCACGTGGCAAGGTGGGCGAATAAAAAATGCATTATATGTGTCACGTGGCAACCCCGCGCGTGCCCAGAAGAATACAGTTCCACTTCATTCGCCACCTGGCAACGCCTGGGAGCCAAACAATACTATTCCTCTATATTCTTCACGTTGCAACGCCTTGGGGTTTAAACATACAATTCGATTCTACTCGCCACATGGGAACGCCGGGGAAAACAACAACTCGATTTGCCACACGGCAGCGTCGCCCACGACGATGACGACGGCCGCGGCGGCGACGACGACGGAAGACGACGGATGACGGACGACGACGACGACGACGACGAGGACGACGACGATGAAAACGAAGACGACGACGAAGACGACGACGAAGTTGAAGACGACGACGACGACGATGTCGACGACGACGACGACAACGAAGAAGACGGAATGGCACGAAATGGAATGGGATAGTTGCCTGGTGAAAGTAGTCGTCGTCGTCGTCGTCGTCGTCGTCGTCGTCGTCGTCGTCGTCGTCGTCGTCGTCGTTATTGTCGTCAGCCAGGTTGATTGAGCGATTGGTTGGTTTGTTGGTTGCCTGCTTGGTTGGCTGGCTGGTTGGTCGGTTGGTTGGTAGGCTAGTGGGTTGGTTGACCAATTTTGGCGCACCTCTCACACATCGCGCCTCCGGAGCCTGAAATATTCAAGAGGCTTATGCCATTCCGCCGTCCCCCAGAAGAGGAGTGGAGTCCACTGTTGAGACGTCGTGGGCTTCTTGGGCACTATCTGAGGACTCTTGTGGGCGTCTTGGGAGCTGTTTGGGGGCCTGTCGGAGCCTCTTGGAGGCAGTTTTGAAGCGTCTTGGGGGCCGTTTCGGGGCCTCTTGTGGACCTCTTGGGTGCATCTTTTGGGCCGCTTGGGGGCTTCTTGGGCCGATCATCGTTACATGTGGGTTGAGGACCGTCACCGCGCGGTCGAGAGGCATCGCCAGCGTGAGCGCGATTGCGAGACATCCCACAAGGGAAAAGGTCAGCGCCCAAGGTGACCCCCAGCCCATCCCAGGCGTGAACCGTGAATGGTCTGTTGTGCAAGTACCAAATGAGCCACCACACTAAACTTTAGTGCGTTGTGCAGCTGTGACATATAAGAACCGCGCGGATATCCCGTAATAGCCTAAGCTGTTTGGTGCATTGTCAAAGTTCATTTGATTTGCGCAAAGTGATAATCCAGATAGTTTGTCTGAGCTATTGTCACGGTTCCTGCCACTTGCCTGTTACAGCTATCGTGTTGTTGAACGGGTTACAGTTTCCATTCGTAGTTTGCAAGCTTCTGTAAGGTTGCACGTAACTTACCCGACCTGCGTCATCAGGTCGAGGGGGGATCGATGTAGACAACCTGTCATGTATGGCCAAAGTATGTATCACCGTCTCACGACGGTGCAGGACATACACACGCGAACTCGTTTAATCCGTTCATCGGACATTGACTTCTGATCCTCGTTACCATCGGTCTCTTAATTTTGCATGAGGCGGGGGATAAAGAAGAGAAGGAGGAAGCGCAGGATGATGATCATGATGGGGAGGATGAGGAGGAGCAGGAGCAAGAGCAGGAGCAGGAACAGGAGCGAGAAGGAGCGAGCAGGAGGTTGATGATGATGATGCTGCTGATGATGATGATGATGATGATGATGATGATGATGATGATGATGGTGGTGGTGGTGGTGGTGATGATGATGGAGGAGGAGGAGGGAAGAGAACGATTGATAGGGTGGAGTAGGAGAACCGAGTAGGAAACCCATTGGCCCTAGGTGAAAGCCTTCGCGGCCGCGTTCCTGGCGAAATTCGACCGCCTGGACGTGCTCGTGCACAACGCTGGCACCGGCTACGTGGTGAGGGACCACCTCCTCTTTTATTATTCCTTCTTCTCCTCGCTCCTCCTCCCTCCTCTTCCTCTTCCTCACTCCCTCCTCTTCCTCTTCCTTCTCCTGGTCCTCCTCCTCATCATCCTGATCCTCACTTCCCCTCTGCTCCTCCTCATTTCTCCGCCGACTGTTTTTTTTTTTTTTCTCAGTGTTTGTTTTTGTTTTCCCAACCCTCCTATGCTGAGTAGGCACGGCGGGACTACGGTATTGGGAGCAGGCGCGGACACATGCGTTTGGTGGAAGCGTGACTTGTTCGGAGTATTGTGCGTGTGCGTGCTTTATGGGGCTGTGGGCTCTCGTTTGTGATCTTGAGTGGGATATGGCGAGCGTTTCGGGGACTTTCGGGCATGCGTCGCAGCGTCGTGGTGTGGTCTGGCGTTTCGGTGTCGCTGGTGTCGGGAGGTGCTCTCGTAGTCGTCACCGGCCTACGCGCTGCTTCTGGGGCTGGGGTGCCGTGTGTGGTCTAACCAAACATTGCGGCTTGTCCACAGACCGCCGAGTCGGACATGAGGAATACGGAGTCTGGGCTAGCGCCTTGGATCAGGCCCGTGAGTGCCCAAGAGGCCGCGGGCAACGTCAACGGGCGGCCGGCGCGCGTCGGTTGGCATCTCTTTCGGTCTTCGAGTTTTTTACCCCGCCCGAGACGGCTAACCCAGGACGACAGGGGGTTGTTTGGGTAAGCCCTGGCCTGGACACCCCCTGCGTTGCCCTGGTGGTCACGGGCGCATGGCATGGGCGCGCGGGTTTAGCGCGTTGGTTGTCGGGCTCTTCGGCGCCACATCGCTTTTCCTGCGTCTCGGTCTCGTTCGGGGCGTGTGGGCACGACTCGCTGTCTCACTGTCGTGCAAGGCCGGTTGGGGTCTTCGGACTCTTCCCTGCATGACTAGACAGCGCAAGCCTGGCTCCCGGCTGATCAGCGGGGGTTGGGGACGCGTTTGTTGGTGCGCGCTCGGTGCGTGCGGCTCCGGGTCCTAGAGGTGTCCTGCCGTACAGGAGGTGTCTTTGGCGCTTCTCGCCCTTGACACAGGAATTGAGGGAGAACTGTGGGGCATCGCGTGGGGGTGGGTGGGCCCGGGGGGGCATCTCGGTGGTGGTGATGGTGATGCTGGTGGTGGTGATGATGATGATGATGACGATTATTGTTTGTATGATGCTGCTGTTGCTGATGATTTGGATGATGGTGATCATGACGATATGATGATCCTGATGATGGCGATGATGATGATGCTGCTGCTGATGATGATGCTGATGATGATGCTGATGATGATGATGATGCTGCTGATGATGATGATGATGATGCTGATGATGATGATGATGACGATGACGATGACGATGACGATGATGATGATGATGATGATGATGATGATGATGATGATGATGATGATGATGATGATGATGATGATGATGAGGACGAGGACGAGGAGGAGGAGGAGGAGGAGGAGGCGGAAGAGGGGGCGGAGGAGGAGGCTAATAAGGAGTACGGAGGATAATTGGATAAGTGGGAGGGTGGCACGACCTCGGCCAGCAGCCTGATTCGGCGAGAGGTCCGACCACGCTCTGCCTGGTTGCCTTCGGCTCGTCCCTTCACCGTGCTCGGGTCGTGGGCAAGGGGCCTCCTGGATGGCTCCTGAGGGCCTCCTGGGCGCTCGGGTCCTCTTCCTCGGAGCGCAGTCGTCGGTCGTCTCGCTTTGTCCGATGCGTGGGCGGAGGAGGAGACACAGAGGATGAGGAGGAGGAGGAGGAGGTGGAGGAGGAGTAGGAGAACAGGAGGAGGAGAAGGAGGAGGAGGAGGAGGAGGAGGAGCAGGAGGAGGAGCAGGAGGAGGAGGAGGAGGAGGGGAGAGAGGAGGAGGGGAGGGGAGGGAGGAGGGAGGGAGGGAGGGAGGGAGGAGGAGGGAGGAGGAGGCCCGAGCAGCCAGCAGGAGTTCTCCGAGAAACCGAAAAACCCTGGAAACATGGAACCCCTAGCCACTTAAGGCGGGAGGGGGAGGCGATGCCTCAAGATGAACGAGTACAGGCCAGTGGGGGCAACGGGTGTGAAGAGTGCAGCCTCTCTGCCCCTCAGCCGCCCTGTAGCGTCGTTACAGCCAGAATGCACGGATGGACCGGTACACCGAAATCTGCACGGATGGACCGGTACACCGAAATCTTAAAGATTTGCATTCACAACGGGGCCCCTGTCTTGGGGTGGCGGCCACGCTGCACCATGTCGGCCTTCCGCTTTTGGTTGGCCCTGGTGGCAGGATTGGAAGACGGCCCCGCACACTTCGAATTCAGATTCGAACGACCGCTCCACCCCTCCTCCCCCGACGCCGAGGCCCCACACTGGGTGCAGCAGACCATGGCACCGTGGGTGACTAAAATGTGATTTAGCTCCCTGAAGGCCTCGAGCCCATCTGGTGGCTCCCCTGGCGGCGCAGGCACGGGCCCCAGGACCTCCTCAGCTGCCGCCAGGGCCTCGGACACGCACGGACCCGTAACAGGACCCCTGAAATCGCGAACCACCAGACCTGGCTTCGAGAAAGCACCTCGCGGCCCACGCTTGGGTGGGCAGAGGCTTACATTCATCATTCACAAGGTGGGCAAGGTGCCCGCTTGTGCGGGCAACGCACGTACACTTGCGGCACCGGACCTCCATTGAGGGCTCGACACGAACGAGGGAGTGCGACATTAGCCTGAGAACTGGCGGCCCACCTGTACGGGGACGCCTGGGGACGGCCTCGGGCGGGTCGTGCCAAAGGTCGAGCTCGACCACTCGGCTGGCCGCCCAAGAGACATACTTCAGGATCGCCTTGGCACGCTGAAGCTCCGACGAGAGGTACTCAGCGTGCACCGACGACACAGCATGCGCTGACGCCCCGAGCTTGGCAAACCAGTCGGCCCACAGATTCCCCACCCACCACCTGAGAGGGATCTCAAGAGAGAGGGCCTCCTCGGGGCTCTTGTGGGCTGGGGTCCAGCTAAACCTAGGGGGCGCTCTGGAACCTACCGCCCCGAAAATGAGCCTCCAAATCCGAGCATGCTTGCCTCTGGAGCTCTCAAGGGCGGGGTCCCAAGACTCGCCCTCAGACACCAAACTCAACAAATCACTCACGATGTGCCGCGTGGCAGACGCGTGCTGGACAAGACGAAGCACAGCCCATCTCTCAGCTCTGCCTACTGTCTGGATGCCCGGGAGAGGGCCGTACATGGCCCGGGCAGGCAACAAGTGTTCATCAATCTGAACTGCGGACCAACCGCAGCGCGTCAACTCGGGCTGCGCCGACTCGAAGCCCGAGCCATCTGTGCACGACTCAGGGCCCCACGAAGCAGGCTCGGCGTCGCCCCAGAAGAACGTCGGGAGCGCGTTCTTCGCGGCCTTCACCGCGAACGCGTGCGGCACGCTCGGGAGGCCGTACCCGCACTCCAGGTCGTCGAAGTGGCACATCGAGCCGATCTCCGCCAACATGGCTCTAGTGGCTTCGAGGGCCTCGGGCAGCGGAGGGAGGGAGCTCCCCGGCGGCACATCCAGCAGCTTCGGGCAACCCAGCCAGATGTGCCCGTAGTTGCCGTACTCGGCGCCGCGCGCACGGCAATGCAGCTTGCCATAGCCTTCCACAGCTGCCCGCCGCTCAGGAGTGAAGTAGCGGCCAGACCACAGCATCTGCAGCGCGCCCAGCTGCCTCGGCGGAAGCGCGCGCAAGCCGAGGCGAATGCCTCGGACCCACACCTGCTCGTCGCCCGAGGCCAGGTGCATGTGCCCCAGCAGCCTCTGCGCCTGCCACCGCTCGATGGACTTCATCAAATGGTGGCGAAGGTCCTCTGGCGGTACGCGCAGGAGCGAAAAGACCTCGCCCGTGTCGGACCTCACGTGGGCCGAAGAGAGCATCTCCCAACCTAGCCTCCGCAGCGACAGCCATGTGGACGTGAGCGGCCCACGCGCCGTGCCGAAGGTGGTGCCCTCGATCTTGGCGTGGGCCGCGTCCCAAGCCTTCTGCAGCCTGGCGCCGGACGTGCGGCCGTGCCACAGCCAGCCCGCGTACCGGAGGATCAACGGCACCGAGACGTCGTAGATCGGGTCGAAGCGCGGGCTGGGATGCGTCAGCAAGTAGGCCGTGCATCCAGAGCCAGGCCGCCACCCATTCAGGGTGGCCGCAGCGCGCCGGAGGTGGCGAAGCCGATGATCCGCCATGCCGCTGACGCCCGCGCCGTGGGCGACCGACGGGGCCAGCCCAGTGCGCCACAGCTGCGCCGCCTTGCGCCCCGCTCCGCGGGACAGCATGGCCACTCGGCGGCCCCTCGCGACGAGGGCCGCCACGCGCGCCGCCTCCTGCCGCCGGAACACCCTCGGCCCGTGGTGCTCGTGTCCGAGGTTGCGCATCGCCCGCCTCGGGCGCAGGCCGATCTGCACGGCCCGCGCGCGGAAGCGGTGCGCAAAGCACGCGCGGTTGAAAACCAAGCCAGACTTGGCCCGCTTGACCCGCATGCCGAGGCCTTGCACGCAACGCGTCAGCTCGACGGCGGCGACCTCGAGCTGGCTGGCCTCTGCCTCGCGGGGCCCCACGTAGTGCAGGGTGATGTCGTCCATCAGCTGCCTGGGCCGCACGTTGGGGCACATCTTGCTGAGCCTCGCCATCGTGCGGTGGGTCAGGACCAGGAGCGCCGTGGGAGCGTGAGTGCACCCCGCCAGCACGCCCTGGAAGACCAGCATGGCCAGCGACAGGCTGGGCCCCACCCGAACCCTACGAGGCTGGTGGTAGAGGTCAATCATCATCCACACGAGCCGCAAGGGAAAATTGCATTCCCGGGCCTCCAAAAGAAGCTGGCTGCTGTCCACCAGCTCGAAGCACTTGGCCATGTCACTGACCCAGGTGCCGCTTTGCTCGTCCAACAGGGTGGCCACCTCCTGCTCCAGGTTCAGGTCGAATGCCGAGTCGCTGGATGTGAAGCGGGAGCGATTGCCCCAGACCCAGGGGGCAGCATGGGTCTCCTCCCACCGCTTCCCCAGGGGACGGCGCAGCTTCCCCCACAAGCGCGTCAGGGTGTGGAGTAAGGCAATGAGGCGCTTGCCCCCGTCCGCCTTGCTCATCTGCACGAGCTCCGACTCCACGCGCCCGTCGGGCCACATGCCCAACCGCTCGCAGGCTTCCAGGAGCCTCGCGATCGCCCGCAGCCCCTCGTCCGACACAAAGTAGAGAGACTTGGGCGCCAGGCGAGTAGGCCCCCGGGCGGTGGTGGCCGGGTAGCTCCAAATCGCCGCCCGCATGTCCTGGACGGTGATCGGCGGCAGCAGCTCCCACTGGTCGAAGTCAGCAGGCTTGGGCAGCCACGCCGCGCCGTGGTGGGACCAGACGTCCTCCCACTCCTGGAGCGCCGCGTCGGCCACCACATAAGGCTGCACCTCGCCCTCCAGCTGCAGCAGGGGCTGCATGGGGACGATCTTGGAGGCACGGTGGGCCCCCCGCGCCCCCCGAAGGAAGGCCTCTTGCAGCCAGCCGCGCCACGCCGCCTCCGAAGCGGCCTGGGCGTCGGAGGAGGAGGAGGAGGAGGAGGAGGAGGAGGAGGAGGAGGAGGAGGAGGAGGGAGGGGGGGGGGAAGGAGAGGGAGGGAGGGAGGGGGAGTTGGAAACAGTGGCGATGCCAGTTGTGATCAGAATCACCTCTGGCCCTCGCTGGGCCTTCTCGGCTCGGCTGAGGACGTTGGGACATAACCCTGCACGGATGTTATCAGGGTGTTCTTGGCCCGTGTGGTCCAGGACATGGGTGCACGGTTTCTTTGGCGCGCGGAGGGGGAGGGAGGCGGAGGGAGGAGGGGTGGAGGACCTCCGACACACGGGAGAGGAGGATGAGGGGGAGACGGAAGAGGTGGAGGAGCAGTAGCGCAGCACCTCTCCTCATCCCTCCCGAGGATCTCCGCACCACGGAGGATGGCCTGGAGGCGTTCTTCCAGACGAACTACTTAGGGCCCCCCTGGCCGCCGCCCGCCTCTCCCTGGCATCCTCCGCTGGCCCCCCCATCCCTCCTCCCGCATTCCTCCCCCGAGGCGGCGCAGACACGCGTTGAGGCGGGTGGGTCAGCGACGGGCCCCGCTTTCGTGCAGACTCGGCGCGCCCCGTCGCCACATGGCCGGCAGCGGCCTCGATGTTCGGGGGCACTTATTCCCGATCCATGGGATCCGGCGGCCGTGCGCCACATCCACGGATCCGTAATGCATCCAAGCGTGCGCTCGGCCTTCACCCGTTTCCTGCCACATTGGCAGTCAGTAGTCTCCCAGCAGTGTCCCTCTATTACCCCTTCGTCACCCCTCCGCGCTCCTCCCCCAACTCGGGGCCCTCCTGCCTCCTCCCTTCTCCTTCTGTCCCTGCTTTCTTCGTCCAGCGCTCCTTGGGCTCTCCACTTCCGAGCAGAGGAGTGCCCAGCCCTGAAGCGCGTCAGACCCTCCTGCGTCGCCAACGCCAACGACGGCGAAGACGGTGACGATCCACTCTGGTTCAAAACGAGTCTCCAGAGCCCTCGCGAGGCCCATCCAGGCCCACAGTTCGAGCTGCGTTCAGCCATGGCGACGATGGGCCTCCCAGGAGCCAAGATGACGACGAGGACGACGACGACGTTGGCGACGACGCCGACGACGACGCCGGTGACGACGACGACGATCACGACGACGACGACGACGACGACGACGACGACGACGACGACGACGACGACGACGACGACGACGACGACGACGACGACGACTACAACGAGGACGACGACGACGACGATGCGCTTCTTACGCTCTGGGCGCGCGGTTGCCCCAGGCCTTTCTTGCTGAGCAAGCTGCTACTGGAGGTGATCAAGAAGAGCAGCGGCCCAGCGCCCCGCGCCCTCCTCTCTGGAGGCAGGATCGAGAATGGAACGACGGAGATCGAGAATCGAGGATCGGGGCACAGCGAACAAAACTTTCGACGTCAGATGTCTGGAGCGGCGCGCGAGGGGGTGGAGTGAAGGGTATTGGGGGCTACAGGAACGAAGGGTTCAGGGGGCTGCAGGAGCGAAAGGCATGGGGTTCTCGCCGCCTCCTCCACCTCCTCCTCCTCCTCCTCCTCCTTCTCCTCGTCCTCCTCCTCCTCCGCCTCCTCCTTTTCTTCCGTCAAGCCGCAGCGCCAAGCAGGGTGCCTTGGCGCCGACGTCGGTGGCGGTGGTCGGCATGCTCGGCCAACTCGCCGCGAGCGGTTTCAGAAGCATGAGGTCATGCCCATGCAGGTGCGGAAGCGTGCTGCAGCAGGACGTCGGGACGCCACGACGTCCGAGCTGGAGCGCCTGGGCGCGCAGGCGGCTGGATCCCATTGCTCCCAGGCCCACGGGTCCTTCGGTGTGCACCTCGGTGCGTATCGGCGTCGCTCGGGAGGTGCGGCGGCTGCTCCATCCGAGGGGACACGCTGCTGGCCTCACCACGCTGCTGCAGGCTGTGCGGACACCTCGGGACCCCGCGCTGCGAATGCCCATGGAGTGTGTGCGCACGTGGCACTTCGGCTCAGCGATGCTCTCCACCCTCCCTGGTCGACGCCGCTTGGGTACAAGGCGCGTCCTCTCTCGCCGCCACTCGAGGCTGGTGTACATGATGAGCCGTTGACGGAACCACCAACCACAGCATTTTGCTTCTACCAGTACTTCGCCACCGGGTTCCTGTGCAAGGCGTTCTTTCGCAAGCACGTCGTCTTCGGCACCGCCTGATCCCGAGGCTTTGCCTCCTCCTGGCCTTGCCGTGAGGCCGCTCTCCTTCTGCCCCCCCTCTTTGTTAATTCAAGCTTCGCGCGGCCCGCTTAGCTTCGACCGGAAGAGGTGCGCTCTCGACCCGCGAATCAAAAAGAGTGTGTGCGCACGTGGTTTCAGGTATGGCAGACCGAGGCTGAGCTACGCACGAGTGGTACCAGAGCGTGGCCGCTGGCGGTTCAACATGTGCGATCAGTGGGGCCAGGACAAAAGGACCTGACATCTACGTGGACCGATGTCAGCGCTCATCACGCTCTTGCTGGATAACGGTTGGGATCTTGAGTCGGCCATCAGTTGGCTTTTTGCAGGCGTCGAGCCGGATGGGGCAGTTGCGTGGCATTTCCGCGATGATGCATGGACAGGGTTTCGTGGTTTGGACGCTCTCATTGGCGTGATCGCGGAATTGCAGCAGTCTATGCCAGGCAGACTCCTCGAAGGAGGTTGTCAGACATTTTTTGCGGAGCTGGGATGGAAGGGTGAGTGGGCTTGACATTTATGAGGGCTTTGTATCATCAGTGAATAAGTATGCCAAACAGTCACCGTCTTGCTGAATTGTTAGTTGCCATTGCGCGCAGTGCGTCCTGGCCCAGAGTACGACGAGCCGAGACAGCCAAAGCGGGTGCGTCAATTTCATGGTTTGTTCCAGATGCGGCGTAGACGACGAGGACATATTTCATCGAGCGTGGACTTGGGTCAAGCAGTGTGGTTCGGCAGTTTATACTCCCTCATATAAGTTGGCTGCAGAGGCGTATGACCAGTCGCAGGCCGGCAAGTGTTTCTGACTCAGAGGTTTGATACCATAGGCGTGGCTGACAGTATCCCCGCCAGCGTCGGAGGAAGTGCGGTCCACTGCAAGCATGGCTGGGGATCAGATCACCCACGCTGTGTTAGGTCATCGTGTGCGGTGACGCCAGCGGAGGGGGCAGACTCCAGCGGCAATCGACTACGCCGAGGAGAATTATCCACTGCCAGAGTGGATCGTTTCACACCGCTTCGTGTTGGAGCAGCGATTTCAGGCCTGCTGAGTGGAGCGCAATCGCAGCATGCAGTACCTCGCGGAGAGTTGAGGACCCTGTTGCTCACGGCGCAGAGTACGTCAGGGCACGCTATATATGTATGCCACATATAACAATGGAGTCGCGGATGGCTGGTCGCAGAGATGGTACCAGTCGCCCACAAGACCAGATGCCGACTTGTGGTGGCAGGTCGGCGAGCAGTCTCGAGAGCGGGATGAGGCATGAGTTGTTATGTTGGTTATCAGATCGCATTTAACAGTGCAGGAGCTTTCTAGGTGCACCGCTCCAGCGTGAACGGTGCAAGGCAACGCTGTTGCTAATGTTTTTTGCCAGGGCTGCCGCCGATCGATTACGAGTCCTCGAGAAAGTTAGATTCACGTGTCACGGTAAGGAATTTAATGCGTTTCTCATGTGTATCAGACTGCGACTAGCGACTATTGATACCCTGGAATGTGAGAAAGAGCTGGCGGGAGATAGACCCAAAAACCACCGTTGAGCGGCCGCCCCCTCTCCCTGCTCCTTCGGCTGTGCGAATTTCCACAGCCGCCCACATCTTAGCATATTGTGGGCGCGAATGTCTTAAGTGTTGCGGCTCCGCTACCCTAGCCACCCGCGCCGTGTGGATCGACAGCCCACGTTTTGAACCTAGGCATATTGATGGGGTTCTGTTTGGGCTGCCAGCAGGGGTACAGCTGTGTATAGCAGGGGGATGGTGCACAGTAGCCATCGGGTGCGTCTGCATAAGGGACTTAGTTGTGGTTTTGCTGTTTATGTGGGCACTTCGCTAGTCAGTGTTTGAGAGGCTTCGGACAACCCTGCCATGAGGCCACGAATCCCAGTCAAGCCACACATATATATATATATATATATATATATACACAGATATTCAATGTTATCGCGGGACTGGCCTAAGGTCCGCAGCTGAGCAGAGTTGACTCGTCGGGCTTTGTAATCCACCGAATTCGCTTCGCGATTGTCGTCGCGCAATCACCTTCCTCCCCCTCTTTCTCCTCCTCGTCCTCCTCTTCCCCCTCTTCAGCAAGCAACCGTCCAACCGAGTACCCTGCCGCCCCCCTCGCCGCCCCCCTTGTTTCTCTCGTGGCCCTGCTTGCTTGCGGCTCTTGGCCCTCTTGACTCGCCCCGCCGCCCAGCCTGAACGGACTGCGGGCATGGATGTGCCTGCGCTACAGTGGGACAGGAATCTCTTCCCCCCGCAGGCTGCGGCCTCCCCCGCCGCGCCTTACCGGGCTCGCGCGGGTGCCCATCTGGCGCGCGCTTCGCGCGGATCCGGCGGCGGCTCGCTTGCTCGCTCGCCATCCTTCTCTCCCGCGCAGGTCCGCGCCGAGCATCGGGGGCTGCCAAAGCTGTCCCTGGCCCAGGGTGCGCTCCAGCTTCTCGCTCCATTTGTGGGGCCCCTGGGGCGCTCCTTGGGCCTCGCGAGGGGTGCTCTGGAGGCCTCCGTGGCCTCCTTGCAATACCTGGGGGCACCTTGGACCAGGTGTTTTTTTATATAAGGAGGGACACAAACTCAGGGAATTCCTGGGGGCACCTTGGACAAGTTTTTTTTTTTTTTTCTCCTATACTCGTCGATTCTCAAGGAAATATCCAAACATATGGGAAGCGTGGGGAAGGCGAAAATGAAAAAATATGGGACATATGGGGAATCCGGTTCTTTGTGTGTGTTTCTTTGCGTGTCCCAGGGCCCCTTCATTTTGGTAGCATCCGAGAGCAGGCTGGGTCGTGTGCGTGTCCAGCATCGAGCATTGGGAGGGCTAAGGTCCGCAGCTGAGCAGAGTTGACTCGTCGGGCTTTGTATCCACCGAAATCGCTTCGCGATCGTCGTCGCTCCAATCACCTTCCTCCCCCTCTTTCTCCTCCTCCTCGTCCTCCTCTTCTATAGTAGCATCCGAGAGCAGGCCGGGTCGTGTGCGTGTCCAGCATCGAGCACTGGGAGGGCTCCTACGACTTCGCGAAGGCCGGGCCGCGCCCCTCGCCGCGGCGCCCCCGTCGCTCGGCCCGCGCGGCCTCTGCGGCCCAAGTCTGGGCGCGGGTGGTCGTCGTCGTCGTCGTCGTCGTCGTCGTCGTCGTCGTCGTCGTCGTCGTCGTTCTTGTCGTCGTTCTTGTCGTCGTTCTTGTCGTCGTCGTCGTCGTCGCGCGCGCCCCCGCTTGCGAGGGAGGATGCAGAGGGGGAAGAGGACGGAAGAGGAGGGAGGAGGAGGAGGAGGAGGAGGAATTCGGAGGTTGGAGAGGGCGATGAGAGCCAGAGTGAATCCATCAAACGTGACCGGTTTTGCTGTAGATGCACCCTCCCGCCCCTTCGCTATGGTCATGCCGTTCAGGCGGGGTCCCTGTTTTGAAAGCGAGCTGCCATGCGACTTTAGAACGACTAGTAAGGGATGCGAGCACGTAAGGTCATACATAATCCGGAATGGGATCCAGCGATACTCCCATTTTGGAGAATCTCCGTTTCCATAATGTTCGAGCTCACATGTCTTGCCATGACATCGGAGGAAGTCGCGAGCGATGACCCACTTTTGAAACAGGCGCCGCCCTCCATTCGTGCAGCTGTGGCATCTGTTTCAAGTTCTGACGTCTGTGTTACGAATTCAAGGATGTCTGTGACGAGACTCCCTTTGCTGCCGTGGAGTAGGGGGGAGGCGGAGGAGGAAGAGGAGGAGGAAGAGGAGGAGGAGGAGGAGGAGGAGGAGGAGGAGGAGGAGGAGGAGGAGGAGGAGGAGGGAGGAGGAGGAGGAGGAGGAGGAGGAGGAGGAGGGAGGAGGAGGAGGAGGAGGGAGGAGGAGGAGGAGGAGGAGGAGGAGGAGAAGGAGGCCTACCTTGCCTGCTCCAGCCCCTGCTGGTTTGGGGTGGACCAGGATGTGCGCTCCCTCACCCTTGAATGGTTCAGCAGTTCAGCTAGAAGAAAACAGCACATCCGGTGTTTTCCCCAGTCTAGTTGATTACGCGTGGATCGTGCAGCTGCCGTTGGAAGTCCAGGCAGGCGAGAACAGTGGCATACAGGCCGCTCGTTGACAATAGGCGGGTGCTTTGGATTTCCAGGTCCTATGTGTTCTCTTCCAAAGTCGAAGGAGATTCCTTTTGCCTTCTGTCTCGGGGGCAGCCTAGGACCCAAAATTTTTTCAACCGCCTCCCTTCTACATGCCTCTGTTCACCTTTTCCCAGCGGGGTCCCCCCGCGGAGGTCCCCGGACCGGGGGCCCCAGGAGATCTCGCTGGAAGCCTCCGCCGAAGCCCCCTGAGGCTTTTGGACGCCCAGGGAGGTGCTGAAAGGGCTGACGAACGCTAGAAAAACGTCGACAACGAAATTACTCACTGCGTGGAGCTCCCCATATGTGCATCTCATGTTAACGTTTCTCTATGGATGCCCGACTATTAGAACGCGTCCACGTGGTCGACAGGTCCGACGAAGACGGTTAAACACCGATGTGCGTGAGTATGAGTGAACGTGAGGTTTGAATACGACTGAATATGCGCCCATCCTCTTCGTTCCTCCTCCTTACATGTCAGCGATGACGTGGGAGGCTTGGGTGACTTGGGAGACTCGGGGAACGTGGGAGACTTGGGAGACGTGGTAGACTTGGGGGCCTTGGAAGCCTCGGGAACTTTGGGAGATTTGGCAGACATGGGGCACTCGGGAGAATCGGGAGACTTGGGAGGCTTGCGAACCTTGGGAGACATGGGAGACTTGGGCTGCATGGGAGACTTGGGAGAGTTGGTCGCCTCGGGAGACTTGACACACTTAGGAGACTTGGTATTCCTGCTGGGAGGCATGGAAGACGTGGGAACTTGCAGGACTTGGGGGATTTTAGAGACATGGGAGGGGTATGGAAGACATGGGACATTTGGGAGACTTGGGAAGCTTGGGAAGCTTGGGAGGCTTGGGCGACTTAGGAGACCTGACAGACTTGGGAGAGTTTCAGCGCCCCGCCTGAGACATCCTCACAATATGCTCTCCAAGCGAAGGATGTTGGGGCAGAAAACAGGCGCACCGCTTGAGACATCCCCACACAACGGCCGCGAACGGGACCGTGTCATACCCCTCGGCGGCTCCCCTTAGGGGTGTTGAAACCAGCGTTCCGCCTGAGACATCCTCACAATCTGCTCTCCAAGCGAAGGATGTTGGGGCAGAAAACAGGCGCACCGCTTGAGACATCCCCACAAAACGGCCGCGAACGGGACCGTGTCATACCCCTCGGCGGCTCCCCTTAGGGGTGCTGAAACCAGCGCCCCGCCTGAGACATCCTCACAATCTGCTCTCCAAGCGAAGGATGTTGGGGCAGAAAACAGGCACACCGCTTGAGACATCCCCACAAAACGGCAGCGAACGGGACCGTGTCATACCCCTCGGCGGCTCCCCTTAGGTGTGCTGAAACCAGCGCCCCGCCTGAGACATCCTCACAATCTGCTCTCCAAGCGAAGGATGTTGGGACAGAAAACAGGCAAACCGCTTGAGACATCCCCACAAAACGGCCGCGAACGGGACCGTGAGATAACCCCTGGTGGCTCCCCTTAGGGGTGCTGAAACCAGCGCCCCGCCTGAGACATCCTCACAATCTGCTCTGGTAGCGAAGGATGTTGGGACAGAAAACAGGCAAACCGTTTGAAATATCCCCACAAAACGGCCGCGAACGGGACCGTGAGATAACCCCTGGCGGCTCCCCTCAGGGGGAGCTGAAACCAGCGCCCCGCCTGAGACATCTTCACAATCTGCTCTGGTAGCCAAGGATGTTGGGACAGAAAACTAGCAAACCACTTGAGGCATCCCCACAAAACGGCCGCGAACGGGGCGTGCGTGAGTCTCAGCATGAGTAAGTCTGAGTAGGAGTAGGTCTGAGTATGAGTAGGTCTGAGTATGAGTAATTTTGTGAGTAAGTCTTGGTATGAGTAAGTCAGAGTGTGAGTCAATCTGTGTATGAGTAAGTCTGGGTATGATGAGGAGAGGGGAGGAGAAGGAAAAGGAGGAGGAGGAGTAGGATGCGTCCAGGTAATGACAAGAACCCCATAGGAACAAAACAATTTTCCGGCACCCTCGACTCGGCACCACCCAAACATGTTTGCACGATATGCGTGTCGGCCACGCAAGGGCGACGCGTACGCTGCATGAGATCCGTGGCGGTCGCTTTCTGGCAATACCGCTCGGAAAACGGTACACTGCAAGACTTGTGCACTATATGTTCGCGTCGTAAGTGCGCCCGTGGAGATCTGAACCGTTCGAGCTTTATCATATCCTTTTGAATCGTATGACGCGCATCTGTGTTCGCACGCGTGCGTGTGCACACCCGCTGCCGTTTCGTGTCAGGCACCGTTTGATGCCTCCCTTTTTCGCCACTGACCGTCTTCGACGCGTCAGCGGTAGCGGAGAGTCTGGTTGCCCCACCAGGCCCCCAGTTCCCGCCGCCGTGCCGGCGGACATCATTGGCGAGAAAGCTCCGGACGACAGCGACGCGACGACGGTGGAGACGCAGGGCCGAGAGGCCCAGGATGCAGCGGCGCCCGCCCGTCGCCGCAGGAGGTTCCACTGAGCTGCAGCTGCAGGAGCTGTCCCGGATGTCCCGGGAGCGGATCAGCGAGGCCGTGAGGCAGGCCGTTGGCGCCGGATCAGAAGGTGCGGCTCGGCACGCTCACGGCGCAGCAGCAGACAGCGAGGCCTCCGACCCGTGGGAGATCTTCGAAGGTAGACCCGTGGGAAAGCGGCGGCGGTGGTCGAGGCGGGGGCCGAGGAGACGGTGCGCGATGGGGAGCGGGAGGCCGGCGGTGAGCTTGCGGCGACGCGCGTGGTGGGACTCTTCGGCTCACGCGGACTGGAGCTAGAGTGACGGCAGGTGGGGCTCCAACGGCAAGATGTGGGGTGCCGGCCCCGACCGGGCGGGCGCCTCGTGGGGCCGAGGATCGTGGGAACGGCCGGACCTGTCCGACCCAGATCCTTGGCTCGGCTGGGTCGAGTACCGCCTCCGGCGGAGAGGCGTCCGGCGATGGCTCGCCGGCACCGGCGTCGTGGTGCGTCGCCGCTCGGACCGCGTCCTCAAGATTTTCGACCTTGACTTGAGGGAGAAGTTCGAAGATATCCCAGACTCGGTCGTCGTCTCGGCCGCGGGGCCCGAAACCATCCTGAAGCGACTGGGCGATCTCAGTGGCCAGCGTCAGAACGACGAGATGCGGAGAACAGGCCGTGAGAGCCTGTGCGGCTTTCATCGGCGGCAGGGCGAGACGTCGAGCGTCTACGCGGCGCGCATGGATCAGGTCTTCGACCAGCTGGCAGCGCAGGGGTTCGACTTCAGCAGCAAGTGGCGCCACCTCTTCATCGAGGAGGGGGTCGGCTTACACGGCTCAGGGCGCCAGATGCTCAAGATACTCAGCGGGGGCGCCGCCGAGTGCGCAGACCACCTGCAGGCCGCGCGCGAAATTGGCATGAATAAAATCGAGATGCTCGCACAGGGGTCCGGCGGCAAGAAGGCCTTCTTCGAGTGCGAGGGCGCGCCGCCTCCTTCGACCCTCGTGCAGCGCGACGACGACAACAATCATAGCATCTCGTTACTGAATTCAGAACAAGAAAATCACATCCGCATGACGATCGAACAGGCAGATCTGTCAGAGCTTGGCAGAGCTGTCGGCACAGAGGAAGAATACCTGGAAGGATAACGACGGCAACACGCGGCGCTTGAAGGTGGACAGGCGCCTCTTCCCGACGGCCTCTCCGAGCGGCTCCAGCGCGTTTCTTAAGGAAGCCGGCAACTGGATCAGGGCGATCAAGGGCCAGCTCATCGACGCGGGAAAGGGCGCGTGCCAGTTCGCGGCGGACAAGGAGGCGTCGTATTTGGATTGGCTCATTGTGGGCGTCAGCCTAGCGGGCAGGGCCGCGAGTTGATAGACGTGGAAGAGGGTGGCGCTGCTAACCCGCGCAGGCCCCGCGCGGAGGTGCGCCTCGCCTTCGCGGGGAAGGCGCGAGAGGTTATGGCGTGCCGTCCCAAGTGGATCGCGGCGTTTTCGATGGCCGTGTCCTCTGGCCCCGGGGAGGAGGCGAACGTCGCGTACGCCGAGGAGTGGGTCTGCAGTTGGCGGCGGGGGCGACCTCGGGGTGGCGCCGCAGAAACCTGTTCGAGCACGTCGACGACGAAATGCTGAGGGTGCGCCAGTTCGACGAGTTGGATGCCGGTAGGTACCGAGGACACGGCAAGGCTCCACGGCCAAGGTGAAGCGCGCCAAGGGGCCCGAGGCCAGCGGCGAAGGAGAGTTTTCCATGCAGTCAGCCGTAGAGGGCCAGGAAGAGTGGATGGACTGGTGCATCCAGCATGCTTTCCACGCGTGTGTGTGTGTGTGTGTGTGTGTGTGTGTGTGTGTGTGTGTGTGTGTGTGTTTTTTTTGGTGTGTGTGTGTGTGTGTGTGTGTGTGTGTGTGTGTGTGTTTGTGCGTGTGTGTGTGTGTTTGTGTGTGTGTGTGCGTGTGCGTGCGCGCGCGCGTGCGTGCGTGCGTGCGTGTGTGTGTGTGTGTGTGTGTGTGTGTGTGTGTGTGTGTGTGTTTGTGCGCGCGTGTGCGTGCGTTCCGTGCGTGCGTGCGTGCGTGCGTGTGCATGTGTGTGCGTGCGTGTGGTGGTGGTGGTGGTGGTTGTGTGTGTGTGTGGTTGTGTGTGTGTGTGTGTGTGTGCGTGCGTGCGTGCGTGCGTGCGTGCGTGTGCGTGTGCGTGTGCGTGTGCGTGTGCGTGTGCGTGTGCGTGTGCGTGTGCGTGTGCGTGCGCGGGCGCGCTTGCGCGCGGTCGTGCGCGCCGGGGGCGAGTCTCGGCAGGGCGAGTTTGGCCGGCGACTTCAACGCGAGCCAGTGCAGTGCGAAAGAGGCGTGCGACACGGCGCGGTGGCGCGGGCGCGAGCTGGGGGCATGGGACTATGCGGATCCCAAACATCTTGGGGACTGGTCCAGGGCGCGCGGGGGGCAGGGGGAGATGCGCCGCGAAACTGGCAGCCGCGTGGACGCCGAGGGGCGGCTGGGCGAGAGGGCTCCGTCAAGGCAGGGCGCGCGGGGGCGCATGGGCGTCGGGGGGGCGCCTGAAGGGGGTGGGCGAACTGCAGCTCAGCTCGGAGACGACGCGCAGCCCCCAGGCGGGCGGCCGGCGCGCAGCATGGAGAAACCCGAGAAGGGGAAAGAGGCACCCGGGCATTCGGACAGTTCGGGCGGAGAAGGAAACGCTGGAGATCAATGCGCTCGCCGCGTGCGCGTGCGTCGGCAACCCGCGGGGCATCGGGTCTGCTCGTTGGAAAGATTGACCAGATATACCGGGGCCCGGATGGCGCCGACGAGGACAGCTGCTGGCAGTCCTGGCTCGACTTGCGCGCGCCTTACGCCGGGCACCTCTCGGAACGGCGCAGCGTCGCAGGCGGGGGGGCGCCAGGGGGCGCTGGGCCTGGGGCCGTTGAAAGGCGGGGGAGTGCGAGGGGGCTGCGCGAAGAAGCATGGGGCGGCGGCCGATCGGTTCGGGCGCGGCCGGCGCCTCATGCTCATCGACAACCCGTTGGAATTGGGCAGCGAGGACTGAGGGCGGGCGCGGGGGGTTCATGGCGTGTGCCTCAGGGCCTTGCGGCGCCGCGTTCAGGCCGGCGCTCCAGCGGGCCCCGCCCCGCCCGACTCGGGGCCGCAGCCCGCCGGCGAGAAAAGCGCGCGCGACGGCGCGGGCAGGCGAGGCAATCGACCCGGAGCGTGCGCAGGTATACTCGGGATGTTCGGGGGCCGGAAGGCGGCGAGGGCGGGGCTTGCACGGCGGTGCCCGTTGCGTGCCTCGCTGGAGAAGTGGGTCGACGAGGCGAGGGGGGCGACTGGGGCGGAGGCCGCGGCGCGCGCGGCCGCGAGGGGCATGGGCTTCAAGGGGTGGATCAGCAAGTCCATTGCAGGAGGTGGGGCGCATGCCCGCCGGGGGGGGGGGGGGGTCGCGCGGATGGGCCCCAGGCGACGCGGCGGAGGGGGCTCCAGCGAGCGGTCAGCATCGCGTCTGGGCAGTCGCAGAGCATTGGTCCAGGGAGGCGTGGCGAGTCCGTCTGGATGGCAGCAGGCCCGGGCTGGCAGCGGCGAACGAAGTCTCAGGAGCGAGAAAGGCAGCGCCCGCTTATGCGGGGGCACGGGCGCGGGAAACGACCGCGCGAAACCCGGGCGAGCAGCTCTGCTCGGCGACGAACTGCTGGAGGCGTTGGTCGACTTCGGCGCGCAATGCGAGGGCGCCCGAGGGTGGCTCGACAGGGTTGCGGATTCCACGGCGGCCATGCTTCCCAAACCGCAGGGGGACTTCCGACCCATGGCTTTCTTAAGCTGGCCCCGATCGCTTTTTGAATCGCAGCCGACGGTTGGCGTCGAGGCAGCGGGGCGAGGGCCTGGCGGGCAGTCTTGGGGGGGGGCAGAGGTCGCGCTGCAGATGCAGCACTTCGGTGGCGAGCTTTGCAAGCCGAAGCTGGCCTGGTGCGGGTGGTGGACGAGCACGCCGGAGTGTGGCGAGCGATGGGGCCGATGGTCAGGCTCGTCATCGCGTTCGACGATTGCTGCCTGACGTGCCATGGGCCAATGGCAGGGGTTGCAGCGTGCCTGGAAGGGGGAACCTTGGGGGCCATCGCGGGCCTGGTTAGCCTCGGCTGCGCCGTTTTCAAGGACACAAGCGAGATGCTGGCGAGCTCTTCGGCAGCGGCATCGCTTGCCGCGACGTTCAGGGGGGGGCCTGGCTATCCCTGTGGCAGAGAGCGTCAGTAGCTCGCGCGCGGACTCTGTTTGGGCGGGCAGGCGTGCATCGTGGCCGAAGAACGGAGATGGCGAAGCGGCGCTTCAACTCGAAAGGGTTCACGCTGCGCGTAAAACAAGGCGCCATTTCTGCAGCTCGCTTGGCGGATACTGGGCTCAGCCCAATAACGAGGCGCGGGGCTGGCGCCGCGGCGTGGCCCGCGCCGTTGCTGGAGGAATGGAGGAGCCGAGTCAGCTCTGTACACCATGGACGCGCACAAGGGCCTGAACCTCAGCTTCTTGATCATCAGGCCCTTGAAGAGCGCCCCCATGTACGTCCGCGCGCCGATGCCCATCGAGGCGCGGGCACAAGAGTGGCAGCGCGCGCGCGATGGAGCAGACTACCGTGCGGCACGGCCTGGCGCTGCGGGCGAGGCGCCGAGGTAATCTTTCGGGCTCTGGCTGCTCTCGAGCTTGGGTTTCTGAGCGTCTCTGATGCAGCGGATCGACATCGTCATCATCATGACTCTCAGCATCATCATCTTCATCATCTACATCATCAGCATCATCATAATCATCTTCATCGTCAGCAGCATCGTCATCATCGTCATCATTATCATCATCGTCAACCTCATCATCGTCATCATCGTCATTATCATCATCCTCACCATCATCAACATCTACATCTACATCCACATCTCCATCATCGGATGTACATGTTCCGGTTGCCAAGGACATCGATCATTGACCAAAGGACTAGCATTCGGCCCCATTGAATAGGGTGGGACTCATGCGGCCGCGGATCGAAGATACATCACGTCGGCGGATATCTTGGGGCCTCCCTGCCACGACATGCGTCACGAGGGGCCACGCATGGACACGGAGCAGGCAGGGCGGCAGAGGGGGGACGGGAGTCGGCTTTTGTGATGACCTCTGCTGTTCCTGCCTCCTCCTCGCCCTCAGAGGTCGTTCCGCACTCTGCGCGCATGGTCTTCGGCGCGCGCAGCCGCTGATATTCAGGCCACGGCGAAGACCGGCGGCCAGTCATACCCTACCAGCAAGCTGATGCTGACGTTGCACGCGTTCGAGGCACGGAGCCTCCGCCGCGCGTTGGCGCGAACGCCGTCGTCGTCGTCGTCGTTGTGGCTCCCGCGGGTGCTTGGGGCGTGGGAGGGGGTGGGAGGGGGATGATTGAGCTTTCGGATGGTGATGTTTTTTGGGGCTGGACTGCAACGCTTTTCGGTACTCCTGGAGACCTCCGGGGGAGAAGGAGGAGGAGGAGGAGAGGAGGAGGAGGAGGAGGAGGAGGAGGGAGGAGGAGGGAGGAGGAGAGAGGAGGAGGAGGAGGAGGAGGAGGAGGAGGAGGAGGAGGAGGAGGAGGAGGGAGGAGGAGGAGGAGGAAGAGAGGGAGGAGGAGGAGGGAAAGGGAGGGTCTAGCAGGAGGAGGAGTAGTAGGAGGAGGAGGAGGAGGAGGAGGAGGAGAAGGAGGAGGAGGAGGAGGAGGAGGAGGAGCAGGAGGAGAACGAGTCTAGGAGGAGGAGGAGGGGGAGGAGGGGGAGGAGGAGGAGGAGGAGGAGGAGGAGGAGGAGGAGGAGGAGGAGGAGGAGGAGGAGGAGGAGTATGTGATGGTGGGGCCAGGGGGTGCAGTAACTAGCAGCTAACGGCCTCGTGCCGAGGGTTGCGAAAAAGGGACGACGGACACCTCCCAGGAGGGGGGAGAAGGGAGCCAGAAGGGGGGACTTCGTGCCTCCGTCGGGAAAAAAAGTACCCATCCCTCTGTGGGAAAGGTGCCCCGAGGGTAGTTATACCCAGGGACAAGCAGATGAGACAAGACAGCTGGGGGGAACAAACCTCACTGCCTACCGCAAGTTTTCATGCCGCGCCCGCCACTCAGGGCTCAGATAACGACACCCCCAGTGCCGCCCCAAGCCAGCTGAGGGGCGACACTCCCCCGGCCGACTCCCGCCCCCACGCACGCGCCGAGCGGGGCACCCGGGCCGTGGGAAGAACGGGTGGGGATCCCCCGATGAGCCGCCCGCAGGCGACCTGCGTCCCCGCCCGAGCCCTGGCGGGGTACCAGGTGGGCCACCGCAGCGGGGACGCCACGTGGCGACGAGAGTGCAATTTTCTTTCCCCCTGGCCCACTACGAGCAAACAGGGGTGACGATCGGGCTGCAACCCGCCTGTCTTTCTGGGACGCCCGACGGCACCCAATGGCCCAGGTGCCAGGAGGAGGAGGAGGAGGAGGAGGAGGAGGAGGAGGAGGAGGAGGAGGAGGAGGAGGAGGAGGAGGACGAGTCTGGGAGGAGGGGGGAGGAGCATGAGGAGAAGGAAGAGGAGGAGGAGGAGGAGGAGGAGGAGGAGGAGGAGGAGGAGCCCAGGAGGAGGCTAGGAGGAGGAGGAGGGAGATCAGCAGGGAGGCGAGGATGGAGGCGGGCCCGTCCTTGTCTTCCCGCGTGCGCCAGCTGCGGAAGCGGCACGGCGTCTTGGCCGTGGCGGCGAATCCAGGCTCGCCGGGAGGGCGCCGGGCGCGGCTTCGCCCTCGAGATTCGAGGAGTGTGATTTTCAGCGTTTTCGTCCGTTTTCGGCGGTTTTCCACTCGGGGTTGCTCTCCAGCAGCTGCGCCTCGTAGGCGGCGTTCCAGGGGTGTCCACCTTCCCTGTCCGCATCCTTTCCCTCTTTTTCGTCTCTTGCATCCCCCCTTCTTGGGGGCGTCCAAGAGGGGTGTGTGATGACTTGGGTGTGGACATTGACCAGGGCCATTAAATACCCGCGGATTTCACGGCTCCCTCTTTTTGTTTGGTCTCTTCTCGTCCGCATACATACCTCGGGCCATGTTTTGGGACCCCCCTTTGGACGCCTCCCTCTTCGGCGTAATTACGAGAAGCGCGTTGGCGGGATGACCGCGGAGTTCAGCAACGTGGCCCTCAAGATCAAGCACTGCCCATTTCGCTAATTATCCTTTGTGGCTGTCAGCGACGCAGCTTGGGCCAGTGCGAGAGATGGAGCTTCGCAGGCTGGACGCATCGCGCTTGCGACGCAGCGCAAGATCCTGAAGGGAGAGCCCGCCGCCATCTCCATCCAGTCCTGGAAGAGCCACGCATTGAAGAGGAAGTGCGCTCATCAGTTTGGAGCGGAGACGCTGGCGATATCTGAAGGGATGGCCATGGCGGAGTTTATGCGGACCATGCTGCTCGAGATCGTCGACCTTTTTTTTGATCTCATGAGGCCCTATCTGCTGGCGGGGCGCATCCCAGTCATCAACGCCTCCGACTCTCCCAGAAGCTGTGACCGCGTGGCCAGGCCTAAGGCTGGCCTGGCGGAGGACAAACGCGGACGTGGCCATCGCACGGACAGCCACGCAGCGACCTGAAGTACATCTACGTTGGATCGAGGGGACGAGCCATCGACCGACCTACTCACCAAGAGAAAAGGACAGAGCTCGTTGTTGCGACGCGCCCTGGAGCAAGGAGAGTACGGTGCCACTTCGGACAGCATCGTGCTACGCAGCCGCTACGAGGAGCAGGTCAAGCGCAAGCAGAAGGAGCCTAATCACTTCGCGCGCGTGACCGACTGCTGCTTCACAGGTCTGGACCTGCACGAGATGGACTGCCGAGCAGCTCATAACCAAAGCAACGCCGCCGAGGACCACAATTTCGAGCCAGAGGCCGTCAGGAGATTCAGGGAGGCACAGCAGGCCTTCGCAGCCCGGTCGGAGGCCCATTCGGCGCATGAGTCGGGAGAAGCCATGATTCTTAGGCTTACGCCACACCGCCGACCCCTTTGTTTTCTTGGGGGTTTCCTGGGGGTCCCTGGGGCACGTTGGGGGCGTCTTGGGGCCGAAGGTTCGAAGTGTCTCTTCCGGTTTGGGAGCCGATGGGGCCGTTTTAGGGCGGTCTTGGGGGCATCTTGGAGGTGCGAGGACGGGGGGAGGAGCAGAAGGCGGAGAAGGTGGAAGGTGTGCTGGTGGAGGGAAGATGACACAGAGAGCTGAAGGGGAAGCAGGGAAGAGAGGGCGAAGAAGAGGATGAAAAAGAGCAGGAAATGCGACGCGGAAACCAAGGGCGGCGACGGACTGGCGCCGTCGCGCGAATCCTCTCGGGGGCCTGCGGGAGGGAGTTTGGATGCTTCTGGGGAGCTGCTTGGGGGCCTCTTGGGGCCTCTTTTGGACTTCTAGGGGGCCTCTTGGGCGCCTCTTGGGGCCTCTTGGGGTGGGGCCTCCCCCGTGCCTTTTGGGGCGGAAAGGTAGAATTTTAGGTTCGTGGTCCCCGTCTGGAGCCTTTCTTGGGGGCCTCTTGGGGCCCTCTTGAGCTGTCTTGAGGCCCTCTTGGGCCGTTTTGGGGCCCTCTTGGGTCGTCTTGGGGCTCACTTGGGGGCCTCTTGGGTCGTCCTGGGGCGTTCTTGGGGAACGCTTGCGCCGTCCTGGAGCGTCGGAAGCCGAGAAAAGCGAAAAGGTTAAAAACTTCGAAAAACAACTCATGAAAAGCCTCTTGGGGCCCTCTTGGGAGGCCTCTTGGAAGCCTCTTCGGGCGTCTTGGCGGCATCTTGGGCCGTCTGAAGGCAATCTTCACCGTCTTCGAGCGATTTTTCGGCGACATCGGGGCCCTCTTGGACCGTCTTCAGAGCTTCTTGGGAGCCTCTTGCCTCGTTTTGGGCCCCCCAGCAGACTGTCTGGAACGGATGACCCCCCCCCGGCCCGCGCCAGGGAGGCCCGGACCGGCCGGCTGGGCCCCCCCCCCCCTCCAAATCGACCGGACCAGACTCCCAGGGGAGGGGTTTGGGGAGGGGGTCACACGCCGATGATCCCCAAGGGGTCGGCGGATGTCATCGGGTTCTGAGCAGTAGAGCGCAGCCAGTGTGATTCTGGAGGCCCTCGGAGTCTTCAGAGGCCTTCTGGGGCTCAAATGCTTAGCCCAGAACCCCGAACCCTTTTTCCGGACCGCTGTTTGTCCGTTCACGGGAAGGGGGCCTGGCGGCCCCCTGTCAGGAGCAGTTGCGATTGGTATAGAAGAGCCCGCCCATGTTCTTTCATGTTCTCTCGTTTCACATAATGTCTAGACGACGCCCGATGGAGATCGGGATGCCATCCGCAGTGATGATGATGCGTACTGATGGTCATGCTGTTGCTGTCGATGGTGATGATCATAGCGAGTATCAATATGATGATGAGGATGATGATGCTCGTCAATATGATGATCATGATCATGTGATGATGTTGGTCACGATGATGGTGGTAGTGATGACGATGATAGTGATGATGATGCTGGTGGTGGCCATGCTGATGGTAAATATGATCTTCATGATGATGATGGTGGTAATGGCGATGATGGCCATGATGCTGAAAATGATGATGGTGGTGATGGTGGTGGTGGTGGTGGTGGTGGTGAAGATGGGGCGGATGAGTAAAAGGAAAACGTGTGGGGCAGGAGGAAAAAAGAGGAAGGAGAAGCAGGAGGACAGGACGAGGACGAAGGGCTAGAAGGAGGTCGAGGAGATGATGATGTTGGTGATGATGAGGACGAGGAGTAGGAGGAGGATTTGAAAACTTTGCAAACCACGAACTTCAGGTGCATAGGCGGTGAAGAAGTTTTTTGCGAAACGCCCAGCCCGCCCTACCGACACGCTTGGATGTGCGACAAGAAGGGGTTATCATATTGAGGGGGCCGAGCGTTCATTCACTGCTCCTGGGTGCGTGGCATGTGTGGCGATCCGTTCCGCGGATTATGCTTGTGGTGTTTTTGTGGTTGTTGTTGTTGTTGTTGTTGTTGTTCTTGTTGTTGTTGTTGTTGTTGTTGTTGTTGTTCTTGATTGTCGAGTTCTCACTCTGGAAGAAGAATTATTGTTGATCGTTTCCTGCCAGGCGCATTTTGTTTTTCAATTGAAGTGTCTGTCCCGAATGTCGCACCCTGTGTTTGTTACTGTTCGCCCCTGGTTTACAACAACAACGTTGCCCGCTTGATACGTCCTCACAATGTATTCCTAGATCGCGCTCTCGCGCGGGACTTCTTCACAGTGTATGCAGAAATCGCGCTCTCGCGTTGGATGTTTTCGCAATTGATTCACACGTCGCGCCTTCGACACTCGGGAAGCACGTTCTCGCCGTGGATGTCTTCACGATTTATATGGGAGTCGCGCTGTCGCTCGCACCACCCTTGCGATTCATGCAGGACACACGCGTCAGCAACCCGCCTGCTTGACCTGGGCCCGCCTTCCCGGCCCGCCTGTTTGGGTCTGCCCGCCCGATTTGCCCGTTAGGTTTTGCCACGTGTTTTCTGCTCCTAGTCCCCATCCTGCTACCCCTCTCTCGTGCTCCATCCTCTTCCCTCCCCTCATTGGCCCTTCCTTCCATCTGTCCTCTCTTCCCCTGCCTTCGGGGCCGCACGAAATACACGTCGCAGGTAAGAAACATATGCCCCCGAGGGGGCACAATCGAAGACGAAGAGGGCGGGTATCGAGGGTGTTGGATATACGTTTTGGATGGCCCGCGTGTTGTTGTTGTTGTTGTTGTTGTTGTTGTTGTTGTTGTTGTTGTTGTTGGTATTGTTGAACATTATTCCTTCTAAAGAATTATTATTGTTGGGACCCCTGGTGCGCGACCTCTGCGCCGCGCCTAGGCCGCAGCTACATTTTCATCATTTTTTCGCGAAAGCTTCAGAAAAGTGGATGAGCTCCGGATCCGGTTTTTTGTTGACGCTCGTTTTCCCTTGCAAAAAACAATAGAAAATGAAAATTCTTGTTTTTACTTGATCAAATTGCAAGAATCCCTTGCAAAAAATAAGGTAAAGTGGACATTCGTGCGCGCAAGACGAAATCCTTCCAAAACCTTAGGTTTCGTAACGATTTTAACATAAAAACATCAAAAACCCAATGGTTTTCTCAGAAAAAATTGTCAAAATGTCCTTCCGCGCGCTCTTGCGGATTCCTAGGAAACCCACCAGATTTTAAACATTTCTGTTAAAAGGGCCTTTGCGAGGAACCTTTTCAGGTGCTTCGACCTTCTGCAACAACGGTTGCGAGCCTACGAGGGCCACCATCCCTTGCAAAAAATGACACGAAGTGCACATGCGCGCGGCCGCCGCGCGCGCGTGCCGAAATCCTGCCAAACATAATGTGATTTCAATAATTTCAAGATGCGATGTTCCGAAAACATATGCAAACGCAAGACTTTCTCATCCGAAAAATATCAAAATCCACCCGCGGGCTCTTCATGAATCTTTAAAACCCAAGATGGCCCCAAGAGGCGCTCAAGATGGCCCACACACAGTTGGGCACATGCGGGGCCCAAACAAGTGATCAACCTCTGCGGGTGTGTACTCCACGCCAGTGTAGTCTCCACGATCGTCCGCGCGCCACGAAGTGAAGTGTCCTGACGTCATAGGGCGGGAAGCTGGGTGTGGGTGGTTCCCGAGAGTCGTGTGGATGTTTGGTAGAGCTTGCATTGCCCCCCCACGAAGTGGGGGTATTGGCTGGCGTCGCATGAAAACCCTGGCACTGGGGAGAACACTGAGCGTTCGGGTAAAATGATTGTTGTTGTTGTTGTTGTTGTTGTTGTTGTTGTTGTTGTTGTTGTTGTTGTTGTTGTTGCTGCTGCTGCTGCTGTTGTTGTTGTTGTTGTTGTTGTTGTGGTCGTGGTTGTGGTTGTTGTTGTGGTTATTGCTGTTGTTGGTGGTGGTGTTGCTGTTGCTGTTGCTGTTGTTGTTGTTGTTGTTGTTGTTGTTATTGCTGTTTTTGCTGTTGTTGCTGTTGGTGTTGTTGCTGCTGCTGCTGTTGTTGTTGTTGTTGTTGTTGTTGTTGTTGTTGTGTTGTTGTTGTGTTGTTGTTGTTGTTGTTGTTGTTGTTGTTGTTGTTGTTGTTGTTGTTGTTGTTGCTCGTGGCGCTATTGTTGCTGCTGTTGGTGGTGGTGGTGTTTGTTGTTATTGTTGTTGGTGTTGGAAAAGACGGAAACAGGACAGGAGCAGGACAGGAGCAGGACGGGAACAGGGCAGGGGCAGGAGGAGGTGTTGGAGGAGAAGGAGGAGGGGGAAGACAGGAGGAGGATACCAGGATGAGGAAAAGGAGGAGGAGGAGGAGGTGGATAAGGAGGAGGACCAGAGCAATCCGAGGTGCATGATCGATGTTGCACTACAAACATTCCTTCCAAGTTGTTCTTCACTCGTTCCTATAAGAATTCGTTTGTACTGTTGGACGTGTCCAACCGCGTCAAAACACCATACCTGTGACTGCAACGCCGCGAATCAACTTGCTTGTGTGTCCTGGCATCCCTGGTTCGTGCCAAAACACAATTCATGGGACTTGAACACCGCGAATCAACGTGACGGTTGCGTCCTGACAGCCCTAAGTCGTGCCAGGACACCGTTCTTGGGACTCCAACCTTACGAATCCCTGAAACTGTCCGTTGGGACTTTGTATGACGAATGTGCGCGGCACCAAAGCGAGCGCCACGTTTTGAAAAGGAACCGCCCACCATCGCTGAAGCTGCTTCGAGCTTTAAGAACAAATGTGCGCGGCACGAAGGCGAGAGCCACATTTCGAAACCGACCCGCCCTTCATCCTTGAAACTGTTGCAGTTTTGTCAGACGAATGCGCGCGGCGCGAAGGCGAGAGCAAGAGTTTGAAAACCACCCGCCTTGCACAGCCTTGAAACTGTTACAACTGTTGATGCGAGCGGGTGCGGCGCTAAAACGAGAGCCACATTTTGAAAGCCACCCGCCTTTCATACTCGAACACGTTGCAGAATTCGAATTCCAGGATCAGAAATGGTACAGTCGGCCCTGACTAGCCGACCCTGCCAAATCAAGGGTACCCTTGTGTCCCGTGTCTCGCGGCCCATGCCTCCCTACATTCCTATGGCAAGGTGGCCCTCGGAAGGGCCTCGTGTCCTCTCGCGTCTCCTGTCCGATCGCGTCCGACTGCGAGGAGGTCTCTCGCGAAACACCTGGTCCGCCCTACCGACACGCTTGGGCGCGCGCGACGGGGCGGAGTCGGTAGACTGCGGGGGCCGAGTGGTCCTTCACTGCGACCCGGGTGCTCGGCAGAAATGGCGTTCGGTTCCGCGGATTATGCTCGTGGCGTTGTTGTTGTGGCTGTTGTTGCTGCTGCTGTTGTTGCTGGTGTTGTTGTTAGTGGTGTTGTTGTTGGTGGTGGTGGTGGTGTTAGTGGTGTTGTTGTTGTTGGTGGTGTTGTTGGTGTTGTTGGTGTTGTTGTTGCTGTTGGTGGTAGTGGTGGTGGTGGTTGTTGTTGTCGTCGTCCTCGCCAGCGACCCGCCTGCGACCCACCCGCGACCCACCCCGCGACCCACCCCGCGACCCTCCCTGCGACCCACCCGCGACCCACCCCGCGCCCGCCGCCTCACTCCTATCCGCACTTGCGGGATGCTACGTAAGGTGAACGGATGGAGGATGATGACAGGAGGAGGAGGAGGAGGAGGACGAGGGAGGAGGAGGAGGAGGAGGAGGAGGAGGAGGAGGAGGAGGAGGAGGAGGATAACAGGAGGAGGAGGAGGAGGAGGAGGAGGAGGAGGAGGAGGAGGAGGAGGAGGAGGAGGAGGGAAGGATGTCAGCAGGAGGATGACAGACGAGCAGGAGGACAGAGCACCTGCCGATCGCCTCCTGCAGCGCGGGGGGGGGGGCGCGCGCGGAGGGGTCGCGGGGGGCAGGCGGCGTCTCGTCCGACATCTGGCGGTTCCCCGTCACGGCTGATCTCTGGCCGAGCTGTGGATGCCTCGAGGAGCACGAGGTTTGGGAACGGCCAACGAGTGGGGCGATGATCGGGGGCGATGGATACCATGGCCGGGGCCATGAAAGCTCCCTGGACCTGGACCCTTCAACGCGTCCCCAGGCCCCTGCCCCCTGGGCCGTGAACATGCTCCTGGCCATGACTTGCGAACCCCCTGTTGCACGCCCCCTCATTGGACGTCCCCGGGAGGACGGGGAGGAGGAGGAGGAGGAGGGGGAGGAGGAGGAGGAGGGGACTTGGAGGAGGAGGAGGAGGAGGAGGATGATGAGGACT